TTAAAAAGAAGTTTAAAGGAAAAAAAGTACCAATTAATGACATTGTGTCAGAACACAGCAAACATGAAGAAGTGCTTTTACATTTTTGTTCAAACTTTTAAAGTAAGATTACCCTTTGAAAAGTGTGATACAAATCGTATAAACTATTTGGTCTTGGGGGGACCGTTGCAAACTAGTGTCATTAAACTTAATCTTTGGTTTTGAGGGGGATTAAATATTCTCAGGACCCCCATCGACCCCTGAAGTTGTGACTTCTGAAGATCGCCCATGTGTAGATTCACTCGGTTGAAAAATGTAATTGTAAAATTGAAAGTTTTGTAATTTACACATCTGAAATTAAAGGTACAGTAGTTTTTTAAAAAGTATTTGAATAGCTAAAATCACTGTCATTATTAATAAATATGATCTCATTGGTGTAAAATTAGCTCTGCCAATGTTCTGACGGGTAAGTCCATGGTGGCCTCCATGTCGTTCCGCCATCTTGAAAAAAACTATAATAGCGGAGAGGTACAAAAAGCACTAGGCTACCTCAACGCGTTTCTACAACACGTTTTCGTTCAGAGCCGGCTGACTGAAACCATCTGAAAGGGGCACAAGGAGGTCAGTGAGAGGCGCTTGTCACTCCCCCGGCAAATTTGAAAGATTGCACGGCACTTCATAATACAATCCCATAATAAAGCTTAAAAAACATTATTTAAAGTGAAACGTGTCCGGCAAATTCAAAACTAGGGTAAATATCGGGATAGCTTTTCCCAGGTGGATAGAGCTAATGAAGGAGAAGTTGCCTGCTTTCTTCTCGACAGGTAAGTCAATGTTACGGTCTAAATTACAAGCTTTTTCATTCCGTGGTTGTGCAATTCATTAAATAGGCAGCATAGCGGTAGAACGTGTATAGTTAAACTCGATGAAGTGATATTGGATGACATGTCGTAGCTTCTTGGCACATAACGGTTACCGTAGTTGCAACACGCATTTGAAAAAGCGTGGCGCTAGAGAGCACTATGCGTTTGAATCGAGGAGGTCAAAGGGGGCATGCTTTCTGCTATAGTCTCATCAGCTCTCCCCAAAGTCTGTTCATGCGGCCAACAGACAGCCTGTCGCATCAACAAATGCTAGCATTTGAAAATTCTACATATATTTTGAGTAGATAACCGATAGTATATTCTCAGTGAAGGGTTTCACCCTGTGTGCTTCCACAATGAATAAGGATAGTTTGAGAGATGCAAGAAAAGTAATATGATATATCTTATACGTACAATAGGTCATAGCTACAGCAGAAAAAGTAAGATCATACTTTGAATTAAGACGAGTAAAATTAAAATATTCGCTCAAGACAAACTTTACTTATGCAGCGTCTCTGAAAATGTGTGGTGATTTTCTAAATGATACAACTTAATCTAAATAAGAGCAATGTAGAGTCCTGGGATTTCTTTTAAAACAAAAACATTGTGACAAACTTTGACAACATGTTTCATGTCGCATGCTATTTGAAATAAGATCTAAGATGCCAAAGGACAGTTCTTGATTTATAACATTTTTATTTGATTTTTGAACAAACGATGTTTAGTAAAAATAATAGCTTTATGCAAATCATTTATATCATACAGAAGTCTTCTAAGAAGATAAATAGAAGATATGATTTTAAAACAGAAAAGATTTGATTTAGACAGTCTTTTAATTTTAAAAGATCTAATTTAAACTTTTAAGATTATACTTTTAAATGAATTTAATTTGAATAAACCTATGAAAAGCAGACTAGCATTGCGTACGCTGTGACATAATTGTGCCCCAGAGGCTCATCTGGCCTGTAACTCCTCCGTCTCTGTGCGGGTCTGAAGCTTCATCTCACCCTGTAGCTTATCACTGAAGGATCTGGGAGGGCTTTGTTTGTTTATCACAACTTAAACTATTTACTTTTTGAATTGTTTTTTATCATTGCATAGATCTAGATTCTACTACTTCTTCAGTTCTATGAAAATGTAAGGAGTTTTTTTTTATAATTATAGATGTAATTTATATATATATTTATATTTATATTATAAATATATTAATTAAGATAAAACTATGTTTAATTTGTATGAATACATTTTAGTAGCATATGTGTTATTATTCATTGAGTTATATACTTTATTTATAATAATTTAATTTTAAAATAGAGATTTTATGGAGCCGCAAAACACCGATATATAGAAATTATATTAAATTACTTATTTTTATTTATTTTGAAAATGTAAAAATGCAGCTTTCAGGTGTACACGGTAGAATATGCTGTTACAGTACAAAAATTATTATGGCTATATTAATAAAAATTATACTTTAGGTCACCGTTAAACAAAATCCTTACAGTAATCTTCTAAAAGATAAATAGAAGATACGAATGTATTAAAACTATAAAGATTTCATTTAAACCATCTTTTCATTTTAAAATATTTAAACTTTTACGATTATGATTTGAAATAATCTTAGTACGAACAAAATTTTGGCTCTGGAAAGGTGTTAGCAGACTAACATTACACGATGCACAGAGACTCATCTGCTCTGTCACCCTCTATCCTGAAGCTAATGGGGGCTGGCCTGAGGCATCACAGATTCTAAATGTCTTCATTGGTGCTGTCGCACTAAAGATAGGCCTATGTGGTGATTTTCGCACAGATACTACTTGAGGAATTATTGAACATTTCACACAATGTGTGAGATGACTTGTGAGAGCCCCAAATTTCAAAGTTCTTTACATGTACCCTGATAAATAAAAAATATAGTCAAGTTTTTCCACGATGTAGCATATTTGTTTTATGAATTAATTTAATTTAAAATATCTTGTATTTTTAAAAGATATAATTTAAACTTTTAATGATTATACTATGAAATAAGATTAACACTAATCGAACACATGCAATGTCTCGTTCTGACCGCTGAAAAGACACACACACACACACACACACACACACTTACTTGTGGGATCTTTTCAACTTTAAATGTATGGACATTAGGAACTACTTTGTCAACCGGCTGAAAAAGTAAGATGGTTTTATTTTTTGTCACCCCGTTAGCAACCTGTATGTTTTCTACAGCTCTCTGAACATGTAAGATCAGTAAATTTAGTTATTTATTTAAAAAATGAACGATAAAAGCATTTTATTAATATACTTTTAAATGAAGAATGTTGTTCAACTTAAGTTAGTGTGAAATAATATATTTGTAAATTACTAGATGTAAATTTTAACCATTTTCATTTATATAGAGCATGATGTTTTTCAACTTTAGTGTGAAATATATGATACATATTGTGCTCACTTGGAGGGGTATCATGTAACACACACACACACACACACACACGCACACACACACAGATAAGCGCGCGCCCGGGCCCCTCTGACTTAGAGGTTTTCAGGATTCAGAGAGGTCTAAAGTAATTTATTGCCGATGAGATCACCCATTTCTTACACATACACACATAGACACACACACACACCACTCCGGTCAAGCGTGGGGGAGAGAGAATCACTGGGGGACAACTTTAAACTCATCTTTTACATCTTTTGTAAACCATTCATATTGTATGGACATCTTAGGAACTACTTCTTCAACTCGGTGAAAAAGTAAGATGGTTTTATTTTGTGAACCGTTAGCAACCTGTATGTTTTCTTCTAATCTATAAAACATGCCGGATGATTTTTATCTAAAATAATTGGATCAGTACATTTAGTTATTTATTTTACAATGAATGAGAAAAGCATTTTATTTATTTGTTTATCTAAAATAATTGGTTTGGTGTGAAATATTTGTAATTTCATTTATATCAATTGAAAGAACTGAATGGTTTCAACTCTAGCCAGTGTGAGATATTTTCTCACTGTCCCAGCAAGAGTGCAGGAATGGGATGGACTCTCACTCACTCACTCACTCACACACACACACACACACACGCACATACATAGAAGACTAAAAGGTGCTGGTCAGCCACAGACTCGCTGTGAGAGAGAAAACAATCTGGGATCTTTTCATGTTTAAACTCATCTTTTACATCTTTGTTAAACCATTCATATTGTATGGACATCTTAGGAACTACTTCTTCAACTTGGTGAAAAAAGTAAGATGATTTTATTTTGTGAACCGTTAGCAACCTGTATGTTTTCTTCTAATCTATAAAACATGTCGGATGATTTTTATCTAAAATAATTGGATCAGCACATTTTAGTTATTTATTTTACAATGAACGATAAAAGCATTTTATTTATATACTTTTAAATGAACAATGTTGTTCAACTTTAGTTAGTGCACGATATTTTCTCACTTTCACACCCCCGCAAATGTATACCCCCTGCTTCAGGAATGCGGAGGGTATCATGTAACACACACACACACAGATGCAGATGCTTAGTGCGGTGACCATGGCTGTCATGAAAAAAGGCCGGTGAGCAAGAGAGTCACTCGGAGGAACATCTTTGGGGAACGTCTGATAAAGTAAGATGATTTTATTTATTGCACACCGCTTCAATGTTTTATTCTATAATACCTCCGGATCAAAGACAGCTGTCATACCCACATCAAAGACAACTGGCAACTTGACGTATAATAGAAGGGTCAATAGGGCAAAGACAACTGTCAAAAATAAATGATTATACACCCACAGATCAAAGACAACCGGCATATCCAGATCAAAGACAACTGTCAAAAATAAATGATTATACAACCACATCAAAGACACCCGGCATAACCCAGATCAAAGACAACTGTCAACTTGATCGATCGATAGGTCAAAGGGTCATCCCTAGATCAAAGCGACCTCCGGGACACACTCCGGAAGGTCAAAGGTTAGCCCCGCCCACCTGTCAATCATAGGGTAATAAATCATCTTGACACAATGTCCGGGGTATTACTACTTAGACGTAGTGTATATTTAAAAATCAAAAAAGACAACTTGAAACTGAATGAAAAGGGACAAGAAAAGGAGAAAGAAAGGAAGAGATCAAATAGAACAAAAAACGAGTGCTGCTTACTGGTTTGGGGTTTGTGACGAAAGTGTGAAGGTTAAAAATTTGGTCCACGCTTGCATCACTTAATTCACCAAAGTATAGTGAATAAAGCTCTTGTAACTCTTCAGGTACACAAAGTCCTTGATCTGTGGAGAGAATTAATAAATAAATACATCAGATAATATAAATTTATATCTGAAATTTCCTAATGCTTATTTAACAAATGTCAGATGCTATAATCTGTCTTTTTAAAGACACCTGCCCATTTCAATGACCCACACCTTCAATCAGAGCCTTTTGCTGGTGTATGATGTCATCACAGAGTGTCCGCTGCTGCTCGTGGCGCTGAATGATGAAGTCTTTTGTTCGGAGAACGTTTTCTTTGCAGAGAACAGCTGACTGGATTTCAGTCTTTTCAAGCTCCAGCTCATGGACTTTACAAAGCAGTGTCAGAATGTCTCTCTGCTCACTGTTACTTATGCGTTTAGGGAGCAACTCCTCAATCTTTGATGACTTCAGTTTCATGTTCAATAATTTTTCCTCCAGTTCACGCTGAAAAACAGAGTGGAAAGCAATATGGAAACTAATTTTGGCAAACAAAAATACAAATATTTTAAAATGCCTCCTAATTAAGCTTTGGTCATAAAACAGCATGTATAAACATTAAAAAGGATTACACTGCTGTCACTGCTTTACATGTCAGATGTCCATTCAAAATGAGTCTTAATTAAACTTGCTTACTTTCTGCTCCATTGTTTTTCTCTGTTCAGCCAGTAGGGGGCCGATCTCCTCTCGAGCTGCTGTAACATACGGTGGCTCCTCTGGCGCACTCTCTTGCTCTTCTTCATTATCTCTGTCTCTTTTCTCTTCGGTTACCTCGTCTCTCCCCCGCCAGGCACGTGCTCGATCACGCTCCCAACTACCAGATGAAGAAAAGAGAAAGAGGGTAGATATGAGATGAAAATAATAAGAATAAGATGTAATAGTACATAATGTAATCAGGAATATTTTTGACTACTTAAAATGAAAAAAAGAAACATTTAACTATCAAAACATTTATAAAACGTCCTGGGAAATTTCAAGTGGATTTTGGTATAATGTGTGATGGTGTAGATTTTTAACTATTTGTGAGATGGCAATGATGTAAGGTCGTAATGACATATTTGGAGGACAAGCCCAAAATAGACACTCTGTCAAATTTACTACTGCAACACTCTTAAAAATATGGGGAAGTAATTAAAGAGATACAGTAACATTTTAAAGTGATTAAACTTTGAATTATTGTTAAACTATAATTAAATTTTATAATTAAACTTCAAATTAATATTAAACCCTAATCATTGTTGTTTTAGTATCTTTGAGATACTATTACAGTTTTAATTCATATTTTTAATAGATTTATGTATTTTTTTAGCAAATTTTTTTTGTAATTTTGTGTTTATCATTATTATTTTATTTTTTTAATGTCTGTACTGTTTCTATTTATTTATATTTCAGTTATTTTAGTACATCATCAAGTTAAACTTAACGAAAATGAGAAATGTTGAAGTTTTTTATATTTTATTTCAGTTAAAGTCGGCATGAAACGGAAGTTGCAATCATCCTTTTTTTCCTATGGTGACTTATAACTGACTTGTCTAACAAGAAAAAATGTAGGCTGGGACAGTGGGACTTGATGTTTTCCATCAGGAATTGATTGGGTTGTAGTGGTTTACTATTGCTGTGATGTCATGTGAGTGACAGGTTGTAAACACGTCATCAGAGAAGAGAAAAGATGTTGCTGCAAGAGGGAGGCGAAGCTACTCAATATTCCATAAAAAATAAGAATTGTCAATTTTGAAGGTGACTAACGTTTAATCATTTTTCTCGTTTTAGTTTTTGGTAACTATATTAACCCTGCTCCTAACTGAAACCTTACTGATCAGTGTAACTGATTATACATGTAAGTTTGTGTTTACTCTGAGATGGTGAGCAGATGTCTGGATGTGTCTATGTGGAGTTCCATATTGCAGTTCTCCAGCTCCATCAAGCTGCGTCTGATCTCCATCTGCTCCCTGAAGGCAGACAAGAGCTGCTCCTGCAGTAAAGCCATCTCACCGTGACTGTACTCTTGCACCTCAGCTAAGAACAAACCATTCAGAGAAATCAGTTGGCAGTCATAAAAGCAACCCTTTCACTGCTATTTCAAGAGAGAATGTCCTCATGATGATACTAATATGGTAAGATCTCATATTGCTCATACTTGCATACATTAGGGATTTGAGGATTTGAACAAAAGACTAAGTATTAAACTTTGGTCCATAACTTGTACAGTGTGTACATTTTTAAGTCTAAAATCCCAAAGATACACTATGTAACTTTTGGACCTCTAGCAGTTAAAAAACAAAACGGCATGCATTTTGTGGAAGAACATTGTTTTGGTTGTGCTTCGGCTCTGCGTGACTGTGCAGATGAATATGAATCTTTCTCATAACTAAAAAGAGAGAGAGAGAGATTATCCTACTGCTCATAAAACATTCTCTACAAGGCTTAAGAGATATAACCAGTTTAGATGGAAAAGATCTCAAACTGACTAGCTGAAGATGTAACTGTAGTTATACCCATTCATAGGCATGGTACTTCCTTGAAAATAAATTCCAGCACAGTGCTACAACAATCCATAATGAAATTACCCTTCACAGTAGATAATGCTTTGCAATGAACTCTACATGTGGCAATAAAACATCTTATTCACCTGGGGTCTCATTTATAAAGCGTGTGTACGCACAAAACGGGGCTGGAAATGTACGTACGCCAGTTTCCACGCAAAGGTTGTGATCTATAAAAAACAAACTTGACGGGAGAATGTGCGCACCTTTAAGCAAACTTTGAGCCGTGCGTACGCACATTCTGGAGACAAAGGGAATTGGCGACACAGATGGTGAGGTCGTGAACTGAAGTTAGATTGTAGAAAATAAATGTGAGAAGAACGATTATAAGAATTAATGACATTTAATTTTCACTCCATTTCATACGTTATATCCACATTATCATGAAGATTAAATCCAACAGTGTTATTTGTGCCGATTGTTTTAGGCTATATACATCTAGTAAAATCCAAACGTAATTCAAAATGTATTAAAAAAAAAATAATAATAATAATCAGCGCTGCCTTACAGTCACATTGTCCACAACGGGAGCGCAGGAGGACATGGCGCGACTACATGTGATACAGAATAGCATGAAATGCCTTTTTATTAGAGAACTGCAGAACACCGTGTAAAAAGGAAATATTTTCCTTAATGTACATATATCATAAAATGTCAAAGTCTGCAAATACAGTCATGAAGCACAATCGCTACTCATCATCGGTCCTAACTATTACGGTGTTCATGACAAAACCGTCAAGAAGCATGTGTTCACAATAACATTTTAAATAAGTAAAAGAATGATTTAAACTGTTTTACTTCTGATATAAACATTTAGATTAAATGTGCCATTCTCATTAATGGAGTTAAACACTTAAACTAGCTACATGAAATCATTACTGAGAAGTTACAAAAATATATATATATATTCAATAAATAGAAATATACCTATTTGTTGTGGATGCAATGCTTTTGAACACTTTTCTCTCTGGCATGCTGTGTTTTAATGTTTTAACTGATAGCTAATAGCAGATTGTCTGGGAAAATAGTTTCGTGCAAATAATGCACAACAATATCTGTTTCCATTACAAATATAAATCAATTAAAAATACTATTTGGCCAGTGGAAAAGATTGAGAAAAACTTTCTCTGAAATGTATTTTACACTATTTGATTTATTTATTCAAAAACAAGGCAAGGATATAGGCTACAAAAAAAAAAAAAAAATTATGAATGTAATAATGTGACGGCACATCCGTATTTCATATTTTACTAACGTCTTGTACCGTTAAACATGGTATCACGTGGATGAATAATCATATGCAAATGACATGCAGATGAGGAAATGCATAGTAAAACTAGGCGTTATAATCTCCATATATGGTTATTTCGGGGAGGAGACGCATGTGCGCACATTCTTCCGCTGACTGGGATTTATAAAGGGACTTTTGCTCAGGTTCTGGTGTACGCACGGTTTTATAAGTCTGAATATTTTTTTGCGTACGCCATTTTTGGCTTTTGGGCGCACGTACACTTTTAGTAAGTATCCTACGCACAGTTTTATAAACGAGACCCCTGTTGAGTAATAAAAACACCATCTCTATGTCGTTTTTACAACATTTCAAATCTCTCAGTTCTCGCCATCTCCGAAAAGCCAAGCGAATGTTGATTCTTGTTTTATTACGAGCTCTGACATTTTCTCTTTTTGCTAGCAGACTCTCCTCTTTTCTGCTTTTTTTTTTTTAAATGGGTGATTCCCCAGAATCACCCATTTAAAAAATGGCATGTAAGCAACTTCCTGTGAAATCATCCTGACAGGTCTAAAATATAAACACTTATAACAGGCTTACCATAGTGAATCAGGGTAAGACAAAAGCACATTTTGGAAGAGGGATTGATAACGTATTGACTCGTTTAAATTTTGTTCATTTTGACCAAAAAAAAGTCACATAGTGTATCTTTAATAAAATTGATTATTTCAATATTAATTGTCAGCTAATGTACCCAAATACAAACACAAAATTAAACACACCTTGAATGTCACAAATGCCTGCTTTCTCTCCTTTTTGTTGCTCTTGAATCTGTTGGTCAATCTTTGCACGAAGTCGGTCAATTTCACTCCGCAGATCAGCAATAATACTGGTGTATTGGGCAAGGTGATATGAAACATTCATCAAATTACGCTTCACCTAGAAGAGTTTAAACAATTGGACAATCAGACACTGAACTTTAAGAGAAGATATCATTAAGATCCACAATATTTATGGAGGTGTAGGTGTTTGTGTGAACTGGCCAACACTTTTACTAATCCGAACACACTCAAAAGAAAAAACGTCAATCCATTAAAGGGGAAACACACACCGCAGGCAACTAACATTCTTAAAGGGGAAACCTAACAAGCACTGTATGTGAATTCTGCCACAACTTTAATTGATGTCGCCACAGAGTAAACATAATTATGAAAAATTATTTCAATATAATGCTGAATTAACCATGTTTAAACCATAACAGAAAATTATTTATCAGTGAAATATACACTACCGTTCAATAGCTAGTTTGTGGTCAATACGGTATTTTTTTTAAAGAAATTTATAATTCAGGGGGGAAAGATTAAATTAATTAAAAGTGACAGTAAAAGTTTTTACATTTTAAAATGTAATCACAGTTTACACAAAAATATCACAGGAATAAATTACATTTTCAATTGTAATAACATTTTACAATATATTAAATGCAGACACGGTGAGTGCACTGTAAGAGACTTTATTCAAAAACATTTTAAAAAAATCTCTGCGACCCACAAGATTTGAATGGGACTGTAAATATCCTAATCGTTAACCTTTACTTAACTCTTTCCCCGCCACTGGCGGAAATTTCCGTCATTTGTGAGACAACACTTCCCTGCCATTGACGGAAATGTATACAGTAAATACTGTTATACAGTAGGGGGGCGCTTTTACACATATTCTGAAAGGGTACTGAATCTCCTGAACAAAACATATTCTGGGGGCCATGAAACTTTAGTGAAGATGATAAAAAATGCTGGTGCTGGCTGCCAACTTCTTTTTTTTTTAAACGCTGGCGGGGAAAGAGTTAATACATTTTAACCCTCTGATGGTCTTCAAAAAAAAGTCACACTCGTGGTCTTCGGGGTCTTTTGGACCCCAGACAACAACATTTAATTTTGTAACCGAACAATATTTTTTTTTTTTTACAAATTTAATTTTACTTTTAATTTTAAGTTTATTAATGTTTTTACTCAACATTTGTGCAGTTTTTGGAGAATTTATGTTTTTTTTTAAATTTCTATAAATAAATAAATAGATATTTAATTAAATAGGATTTTTACAAAAAACAGCATTTTATGTTAAATAAACTTTATAAAAGACCCAGATTTCTAACTTTCATTCCTGGGGATACCATGGATAATTTTACAAGGTTTAATGTAAGATTTTTGCCCATTTTTTGGAAAATACAGGTTAAAATTTGTAATAAAACACTTTAACCACTAGATGGCTATAGAGCTCCATTATATGCTATTTGCTATTTGAATTACTGAAAGATATAGTTTCAAAAGTTGGATTCAGTTGGATTCATATCTAAATATTATAAAATCACAATTATAACAAAAATAATATAATTTTTGTCAAAATTTAGCATTTTTTTGTACTGAAAAAACACTATGCATGGTAAACTGCATGACTTCTGCAGACAGGGTTGGAGCAGGTTTGGCACTTCACTGTTGTTGTTGTTGTTTTGTGTGTGTGTGTGTGTGTGTACATTTTATTTTTATTTTTATGTGTACAGTGTCACCAATTTATTTTTGTGGTGGTTCTTCATTTTGTATGATTTTATTTGACAAATTATAAGACTTTTTATAGCCTTACAAATGTATTCCTGTGTGTGTGTGTTTGTGTGTCTGTGTGTGTGTGTGTGGTGAGCATGATCATTTTGAATTGTGGATGTTTTTTGCATTGTTGGAAGTGTGCCACTTTATTTCTGTCATTTCTGTCTATGTGTTCTACGTTGTTTCTGATTTTGATGATGTTATTTTGTCTATTTTGATTGCGGGGTCCAATAGACCCCGAAGACCACGAGTGTGACTATTTTTGTCACGCCAACATAAAAACAGATATCATTAATTTTTTTTTTTTTTTGTAGATCTAGAAAGTGTTGAGAGCCGTAGAAAGTTTCAAACCATTTGGACAAAGAGAACATTTTTTTTAATTTGAGCAAAAGTCATTTGGGGTCCAATAGACCCCGAAGACCATCAGAGGGTTAATACTTAATTCTGTTTGTGTAATACAGAAAAAAAATATTAACATCAACAGTTTTAAGTTGTGGTTGATGCAGACTTTCTAAACAAATACGATTAAGTGTGTTTACCTTGTTTCGTATATTTTTGGCTTTGTCGGCATAAACCAGTGTGTTTCTTGACTCCTCAAAGTTAGAGCTGGCAGGACTAATATGGGTAATCATGACTGTGCGACTGTTTCCTCCTAAAGCATCCTGAAATCCACATCAAAATTTGCAACTATGTGACAACTGTGCAAACCAAGACTTTCAATGATTAAGGCATGTGTGAACATTGTGGGATACAGTATTCCATGCAGTGTGCTCTGGATGTACACTTCACATTTTGGTAAATGTAGTAGTTCATCTGGATTTTCAATGCAGAAATAAAGAAATCGTATGATGTATTATTTATATTTATGTCTTGACAACTCTCTGAGTGTTTGTTGAGTTAGGACATATCAGTCTGCGCCATCTAGAGTTTCATGACAGAACTTTGTATATATAGATATAAATATATAATGCTATATAAAATATACTATAGCCTGTTTTTTACAGTAGGCATTTCAAAGTCTATTTGAATGAGGAGAATAATTAAACCTGTTGTAGCCTGGCTGGTTTTGCTCACCTTAAGAAGTCGAGTGAGTTTGCTGTCTCTGTAGTTGACAAACTGAGCACCTTTCCCACCCTTCTCACTCAAGGCATTGATGCAGTTGGCCAGTGCTAACAGGGATCGGTTTATATGTGCTCCTTCTTTCATTCTCTTTCCTCTGTTTTGAGTCTGAGAGAAAAGAATATGTGCTTCAGAACAGGACAAATGACTGTCTGTTGGTGTTCATAGACAAAGAAATTGTCTAAGAATGTTTGAATTTAACGAAGGATGTTTGTGATGTTTTGGCTGCCATGTGAAATGTGACATGCTCAAATTCTTTAATCAGTCTCACATTATTTGCATATGAATAATGAAGGATAGAAGGACTTAAATATTTATTTCGATGAAAGATGAGAGAGGGCACTGGACTATAAAATCTGGCATCCATGAGGAATTTAAAAGCTTTGCGTTTCCACTTCATCACATCTACACACACAGCATGTACCTGTGATGCTCGCTCAGTTCCTGCCAAGTCTACCATGAATAGCTTTCCCACCCTGACCTCCTCGTTGATATCCTTTACGCGACTCTTTTGCTTGACTGCCACCTGTGGAGTAGACAAAGCAGGAGGCGCACACACAAACAGTGCCAATTTGAGGTCATGCACATGATTATTGTGTGTGTGTGTGTGTGTCTCTGTTTTAGGCTTGCCTGAAGTATAGCATGAGAGCGAGATGACGTCTTGTTAGCAGCTGTCGACTCCTGGGTCCTCAGTTTATTCCCTTTGGTCAAAAGAGCCATTATCTAAAATCACAAGCAAACACCAGGTTCAGAAGGACATCATCCTTTACTGGAGACACTATAAGGAGTAGACAGGCCAATCATGGGAAATTAATAATAATAATAACAATTCATTGCATTTATATAGCACTTTTCTCGGCACTCAAAGCGCTTTACATGGAAGGGGGGAATCTCCTCAACCACCACCAATGTGCAGCATCCACCTGGATGATGCAACGGCAGCCATAGTGTGCCAGAACACCCACCACACACCAGCTTATTGGTGGAGAGAAGACAGAGTGATGAAGCCAAAATCAGTATATATGGGGATGATTAGGAGGCCATGATGATGGATAGAGGCCAATGGGCAAATTTGGCCAGGGTGCCAGGGTTAAACCCCTACTCTTTTTTCTAAGGACATCCTGGGATTTTTAATGACTACAGAGAGTCAGGACCTCGGTTTAACGTCTCATTGGGACGTTAGGACCCACACAGACCACCGCTTCACTAACACCTCTTCCAGCAGCAACCTATAGTTTTCCCAGGAGGTCTACCATCCAGGTACTGACCAGGCTCAACCCTGCTTAGCTTCAGTGGGAAACCAGTCTTTGGCTACAGGGGGATATGGCTGCTGGCACTTTCAGGATGACACTTACAATGACATGCTCATTTTATCAAAACAAACGTAACTTCTAATAACTAGACTTACACTGATTTACAGATTTTTTTAATATTTGTGAAAAGTCTCTTATCAAAGCTGCAAAAATTGTCTTATTGTCTCTTATCAAAGCTGCAAAAATTGTCTTATTGTGAACTATTATAACAATTTAAAATAAAATCCTGTGATTGTAAAGCTGAATTTTCAGCATCATTACTTCTTCAGTGTCAAATGATCCTTCAGAAATCATTCTAATAGGCTGATTTGGTTCTCAGGAAACATTTCTTCTTAGTATTATTATTATCATGCTTAATATTTTTTTGTGTGGAAACTGTGGAAACTTTCCCCCCAGAATTCTGTCATGAATAAAAGGTTAAAAGAATTGCTTTTGTTTGAAATAGAAATCTTTTCATAAGATTTTGAATTTTTCATAACATTATAAATGCCTCTACTGTCACTTTGGAACAATTTAATGCAGACTTGCTGAATAAAAGTATTCATTTATTAAAGAAAATTATAATAAAATCTTACAGACTTCAAACTTTTGAATGGTAGTGTATTTTAAGCTATTAAAAAGTACCTCTTTAGCATTACATGTAGAAAATTCAGTGATGCCTGCAATTCGTATTTCCCCTTTAGCGTCCTCACGCAGCTCAAGGTATCCAGAAGATGGATTCAACAGATCTCTGATCATCTCATTATAAATCTGCAAAGAAGTTCATTAATGTTTAGTGCATTCAGGACACTCTGCATTTGTATAAAGTCCTAAAGGGACAGTACCAAAATTGATGTAATATCATCAAATCAATAAGACTGACCTCTATATATGACATATAAACACTGCAATTCAAGTCCTCGGTGCTGTCTTCAATGGCCGTAAAGAGATCATTGAGTGTTCGGATGTAAATGCCAGGCTCAGAATCTAAGCCTAACATAGTGTATGTCTTTCCAGCTCCTAAAAAATCAATAGATTGTTACAAGAAGTTTGCAGGAAACGTGAATGCAGTTTTGTAAGGTATTAGAATTTAAAGTATGTGTTTTTTTTTTAATCCAAACACTAAAAAGAAAAATTCACATCTGCATTACCTGTGGGTCCATATGCAAAGACGGTGGCATTATAACCAGCAATCACACCATCAATAAGATTTTTTGTTGTTGCCACATAAACATCCTCCTGAAGTAAAGAAAAAAGTAAGTAACATTGAGGTCTGGAACTGTGATCATGCTGTATCTTTCAAAACCTTAAAACGGCACCTTCAAATCTTAATGAACAAGTAGGACGAGGATCAAGTATCCCATGACCAACAAAAACAAATATTTTGTGTGGAAGAGCATCACTACTATACACCTGGGTTGCAGTATAATCAAATGCCACATCAAACATGTATGTTTTTTCACGTGAACGGTTGGCCCTCAGGACATTGTCAGCATCCTCACAGGGGTCCATCAACACCACCATCTAAAAGAAAGTAATTAGATATTAGAATGAACTCTTAGATCAATTCGGCAATGTTTAAACATTAACTCACTGCAAAATAAATGACCTGAAATATGTTGAGACTGATGTCCACACTCTCTGTGACATACTGTACACTACCGTTCAAAAGTTTGGGCTCAGTATGATTTTTTTTAAATGTTTTTGAAAGAAGACTTCATGCTCACCAAATCTGCATAAAGTAATATTGTGAAATCATATTACAAATTAAAATAACTGTTTTGCAACAATTGTTCATGGAAAAGCTGAATTTTCAGCAGTAACATTTATTATCAATGCTAAACAGTTGTGCTGCTTAATATTTTTGTGGAAAGAGGATGCTTTGATTAATTGACAGTTCAAAAGAACAGCATTTAATTAAGTAATGTAAAAGTTTTTACTGTCACTGTTGATCAATTTAATGCTTCCTTGCAGTATAAAAGTGTTATTATTCTTCTAAAAAATTACTGACCCCAAACTTTTGCATGGTAGTGTACATGGCAAGAAAAATCTTTCATGTTGTGCTATTGGAACTGGGTTCTAATTAAATGGATGCCGTGTTTCAGTCTTCCTTCCCGTAACAAAGCCTTTTTTTCCACCGTCAGGCAAACCGTTCTCATTGCTTAACCGTTCCAGTCCGTGCAAATCCAGCTCAGCTGGTATGGATATGGTTTCTATCTCCACTTCTGGGCTGATAACAGAGCTCTTTGGAATGTAATACAAATGCGCAGTGGTTGCCAACCGTGCGGAGAATTCCAGGCCGAGAACGGTTTGTGATCGCGCTTTGCCAAACCAATCTCAAGTGGAAAATAACTAGAACCATTCCTTGCAATTCTTAAAACCGTTCTTCCTAACGGTGGAAAAGCGACTGAAGTCTCTAAGAACCTGACTACTTCAGGTGGACAGTTATGGAAAACGGTGGCATGCATTGATTGCATTCTACAAAGTTCCTGGTGCCTGCAAGCTGACTGTAATTCTTTGCAAGTCTTTTGCACTTAATTTGCAGCTTTGCTTCTCAGCATGTTTTTTCGCAAACTTCTAGAATGTTGCATTCTTTCATAACCTGTAGTAAAAATTAACTAATAATTAAATACATCTAAACATAAGGTGCACTGCTAACATAATATAATACATAATTAAGATTGATGTGGTTTGAAATTGGAAAAATGTGCTTGAAAAATTATATAAAATGAGATTGAGAATATTGACTTGCCTAATAATCATGCACACAAAGACATGTCTGTTGCATGTTTCTTTGCCTTTAAGAATCCTAAGACATCAAGCATAAGCAAAGAAGACAGTAAACCTTATTTACTGACTGTAAACAGGATTTACTGCAGATGAAAGGGGGGATTAGGTGTTTAGACCATCATTCATCATGACAGATTCAGCAACAGACTCGTCACAAACTAGCCTGACTTCGTCATACTGATTATTCTAGTCAGAATGTGAGTCTGATACTGCTCTGAGGCCTGTCTTAATCAAACTAGGAAAAAAAAAACTCTGCACTCAATTGGATAGACCTACAACCAATCAGAGCAACGCAGTAAGTGACATATGTTGAGCTACTCATATCAACAGAACTGAACTGCACTGCACGCACTCTGGAAAAAGTATTTAAAAGAAAAATGAGTGTTAACCACCTTTGCCGGTGTTGCAAAAAGAATTTGCAGAGTACTTGCAAACTCGAAAAACATTTTTGAACGAAATAGAAAATGTGAATGTATATACGAACAAGTTCTCCGTTTAGGATTAGATCTCGACAGTAAAGCCAACAAATCCACTCGCATTTGTCTGACCTGTCTCAATTTTATAACAGGGTTGGAGCGCGACTTGACTGATTTTAATAAATGTAGAGACGACGAAAGACACCAGGCTGAATAAGCGTGTTCATTTGAGTCTTCAGAGAAAAGAGACCGGGAGCAAAAATTATGTTTTAATGATGATTTAAATACAAAATTATGAGTAATTCTTGTACTTGTACTTTGTCTTGTTTATTTGTTCTGTCTTGCGTGGTGTTTTGGACATGAGTCTGGCAAATAAACTGAATTGAGTAACATCATCTAATGATTTATTTAAAAAAAATAAACCGCTCATAAGGGGTACAGTGATTACCAGTATGGGTATGGTGTGCGAGTACAGTATAACAAAGCGTCACCATTGTTTGATGTAGCGATGGCTTTGACATGAGTTGCATCGCCCTGATGCCCATTTCGGTTGCTTCTTTTACTTGGTCCTCCATGAGTGCGACCAAAGGAGAAACCACAATTTCATTGCGTCCCATATTCTTAGCGACCATCGGAGCCAGCTGACAAATTAAACTTTTGCCGAATCCTGTAGGAAGGACGGCAAACACATCTTGACGATCGACAAATGCCTTTATTGCAGTTCTCTGTTAGTCTTTTAAAATTAATGCCCTGACGATTTCTTTTACGACAGACGCAATAGCGGAATACATCTCAGTTCTCCAGCTGCAGTCATCTTTGAGGTAAACCAGTTCAACCCAAGCGCTCTTTGATGAAGTGAGGATTACGTAACTGCAGATCATCTGTCCATCATCGTATAAAGCCCGCCCTGGCAATTTGATTGGCCCGACAATTTCTGAACCGATCATAATTACTCCTCAATGGATCGAGTCCAGACCGAACTTCCCGACCAAAAAATGTTGTGGGCGGGGTTCGGGCTGGCATCCAGGCTAGTCACAAACTGCTCCGAGACAAGAAGGTTGAGGATTCAAATGCAGTATTTATTGAACAGGGTAATCCAAAGATGTAATCTAAAGTACAGGCAAGGTCAAACACAGGAAGGCAGTCCATACAAACAAACTAGTGATGTGTCGTTCGCGAACGAGCCGGCACTAAGAGCCGATTCTTTGTAGCGAACGAGAAGAGCCGACTCCCGTCGGGGGAGACGAATCTTTATTTGGGGCGGGACTTTATTTGGATGGGCACACCATGCGGCCAATCACATGGGAGGACAGACTAGGATCATACCATTATGTGAAAGGAAGGGGGACACACGCTCCGAAGATTGCGAGTGTAGTGGTACAGGCCAGGTACAGAGCGACAGAGAGAGGCGGGGGAGCCGGATTTAAATGCGTTTTATAGAAACACTGAATAAAAAATGGTTTACCAACACACAAATCATTCACAATTGCGAAATTGGGCTAAAAGAGATAGCTCCGAGTGATACTAAATGAAGATCCGTTTGGGAGCCATATAAGAGCCAGCTTTTCTAAGGGAGCCGAGCCAAAAGAACCGAATCTTTGAAAAGAGACGGACTTCCCATCACTAAAACAAACTAGAGATGTGTCAGTCACGAACGAGCAGGCTGTAAGAGCCGATTCTTTGTAGCAAACGAGAAGAGCCAACTCCCGTAATCCACAGAACAGGCAGGAAATCCAAAACCAAGAGACATGACCCCAGGGAGAATGCTCAGATTGGCAGTGTAACACTAAACAAGACTTCGCAGATAATGAATGAGAAAACCAGGCTTATATGGGGTGAGCTAAACAAGATAATGAGACACAGGTGAATGTGATAATGGATGAAGAGTCCAGGCAGTGAGTTATGGGAAATGTAGTTTGTGAGGGAATGACAATATAGTCTGATGTGGAGTGCCCTCTGGTGGCTCTCAAGGGCACTCCAGCTGGTGACCGTTACACTCCTAATCAAGAGTTGTGAATATTATGCATATGTTTTCAAAATTTATACAAAACATATATAGGGGAGACACTGGCTAGTTGTAACAAGGCTATTTAGGTTTAAAGTCAAAAGTCACTTGATTAAACAATTTCAGACAGGAATTATAGGTAATACTGCACATGTGTCTCAGGTGGTCCTTTGTGTTGTTTTTTGCCTACCTGGTTGTCAATCTTGTGCGCCACTGTGGTTGCACCCTCCTCAATCTCTGCATCGTTCAGAGGCCGGATGCGCAGAGCAACCTTGAATCAGTGCACATCATTTATTTAAAAACGTATCTTTAAATAAATCTGCCTTAGCTGCAAAAGACGTTAACAATGTATGTTCATATCATTAAAAAAACTTGCATTCATTTTATATTCATATTTGAATCTACATGAACTGTTCCGATCTGTTAAGAACTATAGGAGAATAGGGCTAGTTGTCACATAGGGAAGTGTTCACTGTAGTGTTATATCTAGTGTTACTGTATGGTTTTGACACTACACTATAAATTGTGACAAGGATCAACTGTAGGCTATAATAAACATAATTTTTTAACAAAAGGTGGAAATTTGTTATCAGGGTATGTCAGGTCAGTGCAAGTTGTCACATGTGGTTTAAATAGCTATTCTTAAATATTATAACTCATCACAACCTCTGATAGCCCCGACCCAAAAAAAAATTAATAATAATAATTTAACAGAAGTCTCTAATGCTCACAAAGGCTGCCTTTATTTGATAAAAAGGTCAAATCAGTAATATTTTGAAAATATTATTACAATTTAAAATAAAATAATGTATTAAAATATTACATTATTTTATGTAATTGGTATCAGTGTTGTGCGATACCAGTCACCTCTGTGGAACCACTGGTATAATTGTCTTTTATAATTTTTTTGTTTTTATGTTTTCAGGTGTTGGGTGTCTGTAATGTTGTGTGGTTTTCTAATGGACCCTGAGTCTGACAATAAAAGTTGAATTGAAATTGAATTGAATTAATTTAAAATGGAATTTATTCCTGTGATGGCCAAGCTGAATTTTCAGCATCATTACTCCAGTCTTCAATGATCCTTCAGAAATTAATCTAATATGCTGATTTGCAGCTCAAGAAACATATATATTTTTTTTATTATCAATGTTGAAAACAGTTGCGCAGCATAATATTTCTGTAGAAAACGTGATAGATTTTTTTAAGGATTGTCTGAATGGAAAGTTCAAAAGAACATTTATCTGAAACAGAAATCTTTTGCAACATTATAAATGTATTTACTGTCACATTTGATCAATTGAATGTGTCATTGTTGAACAAAACAAGTATTCATTTATTTCAAAAAAGAAAAAGAAAATCTTCCTGACCACACTTTTGAATGGTAGGATGGCTAATGCATGTTGCGTCTTACTTGTGGTTTTCATTAATTATTTTGCATTTCATAATTGTTTATAACCAAATATAATACAACAAGATGGCCATTTCTGTTTTCCTAAATCTGCCAATAACAACTAGCCTCCCTTTGACAACTTACTCTTACCTTTATGATCTTTTTATAACATCAGGCCTACTTTATTTGTAGCAACTTTAATATTCACTAAAAGGTGATAGCTGTAGCCCTAGTCTCCACATGTAGTGACATACTAACGAATGTTATTATAAGTGTTATCATTTGTTATCACAACAAGAGAAACGTTCTGTTCACTTGATGACTCTCTCCTGTCCCGCAGGAGACACATTAAAGGTGATGATACAGAGCAACTTTTTGAGCAATGTTGCTGGGGAATCATGCCGAGCAATTGTTGCTTGGGCACTTTCCCATTGAAAATGGGCAATACATTTCTGTCTAGATAATTAAGATCGGTCGTGGGCCCTGTGTCTCATCTGGTTGCCCGTTGACGGCAACATTGCCCAGCAGCATTCCTCAAAAAGTTGCCCTGTGTATCATCATCACCTTAACTTAACATGCATCTCTATGAGTAAGTTAGCCTGAAACGTGGTGTAAGTGACAGGTGTTCAACCTTTTTGTTGAATGAACTGTGGTGCTTTAATAAAAGATCGACAGCCTACCGTGAGCTGATGGTCCTTCCACTCTCCTGGCAAATCCTTCATCTTTTTATTCCCAACTTACTCCAGTCTTGTGCTGTATCAAAGCCTGTTTTTTTCTTAGCAGACAATATCAAAATACGCCTCAGCTAGTGCTACGCTAGAATATATACTGGTGATTTACTGCGGGTTGGTTAATCTTCTAATCTCATTCTGAGACAGGACTTGTGCTGCTGGCCCCTGCGGAGGTCCTGGATTCACCAGCGGACGGTTGTTAACGGTGATGAAACCCCTAGAGGTGTGAAACAACCCAACGCACTCCTACCATGCTGGGACTATGTCAACCCCATCCTCTCCAGTGCAGCTAAAAGAACATTTTCATCAGTCCAAACCACAGTTATACTCATATTTATGCTGATATTTGAGAGAAAACGTGTGTGAAGGATTTAACAAGAAGGATAAAGGTATTTGCGCGCCTCTTTAAACCAGTCAAGAGTCTCAAGACACTCGCAGCGCGTGCTGGCGCAAGAAAACTGTTACTGTTGCTATGGAGACTAGTACACACTTGTTTGGTTACTTTGGCAAGTTTTTGTGCCAAAATTAGCCAGACTAAATAATATATTTATCATATTTTGTCGTTTTATAATGCTAATTTGCTCGCGTTTGCAAATTACACTTATTTATGTTTTATTTTATTTATTTATTTATTTACCTGTAACATGCCAGAATTAGCCAAGGGCTAGTTTTCATCTGTTGGCCAGTTGTACAGTGGCACCCAAGGGAAAGCATAAAACCTTATAAACAATGGACAACTATAAAAGTAAAACTGCAGCTGTGTTTGTCCGCTACAGAGTAGCTTCAGCAGAGGAACAAAATGAAAGTGTTAAAACTCTTGAAAGTGTCTAAAACACTTGCAACAAATACTCAAAACAATTTCATTTGCAAAAAAACCCACACATACTTTGTGCTTAAAATGAGCATAAAATAGAAAAAATATTATAATAATTAGGGTTTAGTAAAGATTTATATAGAAAAAAAACGGCATAAAATTTGAAGTTTAATTTTTTTAATTACTCTATACAGAGAGAGAGCATTTCGCACAGTTGTGAAAAAATAATTTTTGTTAAAATAATGTTTATAATGTTTTGTTCTGTTTTCATAGTGTGATATTTGGATTAGCATATGGGCATAGCGCTGGGCCTGACATGAACTCACTGTTTTTGTGCAAAACCACCACAATGTTGCAATACATTTTAAAAATAGCTTTAAAAAGTTTTAAAAATATTAAATCACAGGAGAAACATTAAGTTGTTCACATTTACTATAGAGGAGTAAACATACACAATCTTGTATATGGCTTTAAAACTATTTCAGTTTATGGGAAATTCAAGTTAAATATACAACATTAAGCAAATTAAATAAAATACAAAGAAAATTCTCATATCAAAAATGTATGATGCTTGTGAAAAACTCATGGCTCATGTCATAAATAACACTTGCCTAACAATTTTTTCAATGCTTTTGTGTTAAAATTCCCTAATAATTTTACAATATTGTTTTTTTATTAAGTGCAGTTTGGATTTGACATTATGACTTATGATACTGCAGCACATTGACATCACGAGTGAACATGTCTAGAAGTATAACCTCTGGAATGATGGTGGAAAAAAATAAGAAACGTTTCCTTAGTAAACAAATTGCTCTTATACAAAAGGCCAGACCACAATACAAAAGAAATTCCTCTCCTGTATCAGAAATATTTTCTTTTGAGAAGCGATAACCAACCCACAAAAGTACCATGCTCTGTCAGAAGAAGAATAGCAAATGATAAATCACTGCCCTTTACTCCTTTCAGTAAATGCTATGCAAATTTTATGACAGGGGATTTAAGAATATGAACTCTTACTTAAAATTCATATTAAAATGAAACATCCATTCTCAGCAGGAATATGACAAAGTGTGTTTACATGCACTTCAAAAGTTGTAATTTACTTCTAAAAAACAACAATTCATAATTTGTTAAATGTCATGTAAATGCTTTAGTCTCCCTTAAAATCGTACCAGTCCATTTTTTGCGAAGTCAAGCTCAGCTCAGCTTTGTCCAGCATGTATAAGCAATATTCAGACTGTTGGCCTCAACAGTTGCTCCAAAACACAGAGGTGATGCGCAACGTGTATTACACTCTTTAAAGTCACCATGATTTCACAATCAAAATTCTTGTATTTTATGGAATATTTCTGTATTTATTATAAATGCACTGTATTTATTATAAGAGCACATCATTTTTAATTTTATTCATGTGCCTTTTTAATCTTTAATCAAAATGACATCCCTTCCCTCTTGCAGCAACATCTCTTCTCTTCTCTGATGACATGTCTGACATGGGGACGGGACAACATGTCACTCACATGACATCACAGCAAAAGCAAAGCACAACGATCTAATTAATTCCCGATGGACAACATCAAGCCCTCCCTAATTTTTTTCTTGTTCGAGAAGCTTTCACTTGGATATACATCACAATCGGGAGGAAAAGACAATCACAGCTTGTTTCATGGCAACTTTAAATATTCAATAGGCCTAGTGTACTTTAGTCAACTTTTTGCTCGACTACGCAAAAACCTGCTCTATGATAACTATTATGCATGTCATTGCCAACATATTAGTGTCTCTCTCATACATCTTCAGTGTCACATGATCCTTCAGAAATCAATCTAATATGCTGATTTGTAGCTAAAAAACCCCAATACTGCTTATTATTAATGTATGAAACAGTTGTTTAACATTTTTCAGGAGTCTTTGATGAATAGAAAGTTGAATGAACAGCATTTATTGCATTTATTGCTAACCCTTTACAATAAGGTCTCATTTCATTTGTTAACATTAGTTAATGTATTAACTACCATGAACTAACAATAAGCAATGTGCATTTGTTACTGTATTTATTTATTAATCTTTGTTAATGCCAGTTAATAAAAATACAGTTGTTCATTGTTTGTTCATGTTAGTTCACTAATGTTAACTAATGAAACCTTATTGTAAATAACCTTATTTATTAAATAGACATCTCTTGTAACATTTTAAATGTCTTCATTTTCACTTTTGATCAATTTAATGCATCCTTGATGAATAAGTATCAATTTCTCTCTTTTTTAATCTTATCAAAAATGTTTGAATGATATCATTGTTTCCACAAAAATTTTAAGCAGCAAAAACTGTTTTCAAACTTGATGATAATAATAATAATAATAATAATAATAATAATAATAATAATAATAATTGTTTCTTGAGCAGCAAATCAACATATTAAAATGATTTCTGGAGGATCATGTGGCACTGAGGACTGGAGTAATTATGCTGAAAATTCAGCTTTGCCAGCACAGGAATAAATTATATTAAAATAGAAACAGTTATTTCAAATGGTCATATTTCATATTACTCTTTTTACAGTATTTTTGATCAAATAAATGCAGCCTTGATGAGCACAAGAGACTTCTTACAAAAACTTTTTTTTTTAAATGTTTCCAAACTTTTGACAGGTAGCTACTGTTTAAATTAATAAAATGTTTAATCTATTTCAAATGTAGGCTAATATTTCTTTTGATGAAAATGTTGAACCAAGTTTTTAATATGCAGTTCTAATGAGTGACAATGACTGTACCTCCAGGGTATTCTGGTAAATATTCTGGTAAACTATTACCAGATAGTTCTGGTACCAGATAGTTCTATTACCAGATAGTTCTAATATTCTGGTAAACTCCATGGTAAATATTTGCAAGGTCCAAAAGTAGCCAAGACTAAACTGAATGGATAAAATATAATCTCACAAAAAAAAAAAAAAAATTCTAGCATTCTATCAGACAGAATGTCCTTTGTTCTATGCGCATATAAATAAACTGGAATGAAAAATATCATATTTGAATAGAATATTATTGCTAAAAATATTTAAAATCTACTTTAATCCCAAATTCAATTTAATTTAAGCAGTTTTAGTTAATCTGATGTGCATGGTGACTGTTTTATGTTGAGGCATCGCGGATTCTATTGCACCCTCTTCACCTCATCATCGATGTCTTCCACAAAATCCCATAGATAGACAGTAGGCACCTGACGAGCAGGAATAGTTGAATTTGTAATGCAGTATGTTTGCTTTTAGTTAGACAACTAGTAGAAATCCCTATGGTAGAAATGCGTCAGACAATATTGATGCTGACTGCCTCCTATCTGCGCAGTTAGGAACTCTCACTCGCTGTAACCATGCGTGTGAATGAGAGGCGGTTACTTTATTGAAGAACATTAAAATGCGCCGAATTTGCGCATACGTAGCTGGAAGCGTCAACGCTCTGCTCGTATTTTTTATGTCCTTTCCAGCACGCCGTACAGAGCGAAAGTAAGTGCAGCCAACTTTGACACATTAACGTTAAATGTGATGCATGAAAGGCAGAAAGGGTGGTTTTTCCTTCAATACTGTAGATGTTTTTTCCACTTGCTTTTGAATGAGTTATTGTAGTGTACAGATGCAGACTCAGACAAAGGTTTGAATCGTTTCTCCATACTGGCGTAACGTTACCCTGTTGTGATTGTATCAAGGTAACTTTTTGTTGTTCCCACGTGCAGTTGGATTTGATGTGCTGGTGACTCAGGGATTTTGTTATCATGGACAGTGACTGCTTATCTTTGCTACCAGCGGTCTGTCTGGTACTGGCCGACCCGAAGCAGTCTCCACCTGATGACACCTCGTTAGAGAAACTGCTCGATTGGTTCAAAGAGCTGCACAGCCAGAGTGAGTAAACTGGAATCAAATTGATACCAATTTTTGACTAGTTGAGACCAAGATTGGGTAGAGTATTATATTATATATCTGTGCTTGTAGTGTTAGAGGGAAATTCAATTATTTTACTTAAGTGTTTACACAACTATCACTGTGTACACACACATCTATCTATTTATACATACATATTAGTGCTGTCAACAAATGTTTACAATGACTCTCCAAATTGACACAAAAACAACAAAGATGGTACATTTTAAATATTTGTTAAATGGCATCTTATTACTAAGTACAATGAATGAAGGTCAGTATCATCGATATACCAATACTGCTACTGATGTTTTTTAGTTTTTCAATTTCTGGGGATGGAATGAGTAATTCTAGCCATTCAACATTACAGTATAATTGAAAACCATTATTTTTTAACATTTAACAGGCTTAAAATATATTATAAATAATAATATATTATTACAATTTTAATTTAAAATTTCAGTCTTCTCTTCACAAAGCATTTATAATAAATGTCATATTTAGCTGTGTTTTTAATATAGTGTGTTGAACAAATTAATATTTCCCCACTAAGTTTATTTTGAGTTAATTTTACAATAAGTAAGAAAATGAATAGTTAAAACATTTGGTATCCATGTTTTTATGTGAGGATCGATCCTCTCGATACATCAGTAATGCTAGTATTTACACTTATTTTTGAACTTATACCTGTGTGTCTTAATTATTGAGACAATCACATTACTGACAGGATAAAAAACAAGCTGCCAGATGGAGCTTGAAACATGTAAGCATCCTTAGGGTCTCGCATATCACGCACAATATTCACACGTACATATATATACTGCTCATACTGTCTGATAGTGATTACTACGTGTTTCCTCAGGTAATGAACAGGTGCTTTTGCGAAATCAGCCGTGCCTCAAGGAGTTCATTTCCAGTGTTTGTACGTCTAAAACTACAGATCCTGTTATCCTGTCTTTCACCCTCAAACTCACTGGACTTTTGGCTGGCACCAAGCAAGGTTTCCACTTGCTTGAGGTGAGGTAGTTTCCACTATATTGTCACAATATCAGTGACAGATTATTTGCTCGCTCACAGTTGTCTAGGATAGTGGTTCTCAACATTTCTGACTTCAAGACCCCCCAATATTTTTGAAAATATTTGAAGGCCACCCAAAATATTTCTGGATGATGCTTGTTTTCAAACTTTATTTACAGAAAATAGCATTGGCAATATATTTAAAAAAATTCAATAGAATAATTTATAAATAAGTCAAAAAATTCAACAATTCCAGAAGTTTCAATAACTGAAAGTTTTCAGAGTTTATGCTTTTACACCAATTAATTTACATGACTTTTCTCATTATTTGTGATTACTGTTTTTGAAATACTGTTTTTTGCTATAACATCATATAAAATATTTTAAAGCTTGACATAACAAGAACAATTTATATTCATTATAAAAAATGCCCATGACATTTTAGGATTTTATTAATTTACATGAATTTTCCTAGTCTAGATATCACACTTTTAAAATTCCCATATATATACAGGTTTTCCAAGACTGCGGTTCTTAAGTAAAAATGTTCCTGGTTCTTCATTAATTCCCCCAATAACTGCATTTTATTTAGAAGTAAGAAATATGTCAGTTTTTAATCATTTTTATGGTTTATTTTCTTTTCTTTTAATTTGAAGTCATTTTCACCCCTCTTGGAAGTTTGCAGAGGCCCCTTGGTTGAGAACCACTGGTCTAGCACTAACCCCAAAAAGTACTATGGTATTGTTTGCAGTTTGCAGTGTTTTCCAGTCACATCATGTTTTTGAGTTCTCTTTTTTTGGAAATAAGGAGGGAGGTCTTTTGGTGTCTGTGTTTGAGCGGGAAGCCTGGTTTGTGTGTGATCTTTGGGAGGATGCCTCAGTTCGCAGTGGCTGGCTGCAGGGACTGTTGAATATGCTGAAACACCGGCAAGCTCTGGACTTCATCTGTGGAAACGGTGAGAATTGTCATCATCTATCATCCATTCCAAAATTATTCAGAAAGTCCCAAATGTGCATAAAAATCAAAGATTTTTGATCTTTAGTCTTTTCAAGTCTTAAGTCTTATATTCTGTTCTATCCACAGGACTCATCAAAGTCATTCTCCAGCTGCAGAACGACGGGAGTCTGTTTGTTGCCTGTCTGGCTAATCAGCTTTTAGTGCACATCCTAAACTTCCTCTCATCATCAAACATGACCAATGGCAGTGATGCTATGGGATCAAGTGAATCATCTTTCAGCTCTGATTGGGTCTCGGTCTCCTCAGAGATTATGAATGGCGTGGTGGAGGCGTTGAGCTCAAATGATCATCCTCGAGTCCTCCAGGGCTTACGGCTTTTGTCATCAGTTCCCTCTCAGTGTGGAGAGCCTATCAGAAGCACGCTATGGAAAGATGTGCTAGTACCTCTGGAAGTCTTGATCAACAGGGGATCTGAATCATTGACTCAGCCTCTGATGACTGTTCTTCAAGCTGCTGTAAGGTAAGTTGAATAGGACATTTCTTACATTTATGTAATTACATTTTACATTTTATGTATCTATTAATTTGAGCTAAAATATTTTTATTACCACCCCATTAATAGCATAATAATTAAATAATTAAAAAATAATTAATTCTGCTTTGCATCTAGGATTATTCCATAATAATGAGATAACATTATCCCTTAGATATTTCATTAGTTACATTTAATTAATTCTGATTCTTTGTAGTTAAATTGATATAATTTAAAAGCTGCTTTAAAAAAAACAAACCTAAAATAAATGTATAAATTACTATATTATAGTTTATTTCAATTACTCATTATGGAAAGTACATATGTTGTATTATCTTCTCTTAAATATGTATTCAGTGTAATGCAAAGATGCAGAGAATTGTTTATCGTCTGTTGCAGGACGCCTCTGCTCGGACAATCGGAGTATAAAGTGGAGGAATTATTGGAAGCCATGTTGGGTTCTGGAAGCAAAAATGAGAGTTTTCAGTGTGCTGCACTTATCATAAAGCTGGAGAAATGGTGACTACCGAAGACTTTTCACAAATGCATAGTGCAGCATTAGGGGTGGGTGATAAACCGGTAAAAATTTGAAATGATAATCTCTATCGTGGTTACGTTCATGTGACATTGCAGTTCAGCGTGAAAGTTTATTATTGGCAAGCTCTTTCAAGCCTTACCAGTTTAAACATTCATGTGATTTGTTCTGACAGGTGGTTTTCTGAACGATCACATACAGCATGTGGATACTGAACTGAGTTCTCTTTCACGTCTTATTGCGATTAAACTGTCAGATACACGCAAGGCTATGTCAAAGAATGTCCGTCTTCTGACTGACTGATTACTTTACAGGCTTGAAGACCTTTTACTTACATTACTTGTGTAGCGCCCCCTATGCTCTGAGTGTAACCCAAGCGACGCTCCGGATTCTTTAAATGTGTCTCTCGACTTGCAACTATGCAATAATGTTATTCTTTCCCTTTCTTTGAGATCTAATAATCTGTATCTACTAATGAATTGCAAGCAACACCATTCGGTAAGTATAAACAAATAATAACATTTAATCACACACAATAAAAGAAATATTAAACAAATGAAAACCCCTTGTATTGAGTCTTAATATACCAATAAACTTCAAATGTAAATCAACACTTGTCTCTTGTCACTTATTTTATCTTTCAGAAACTAAATAAACTCAATTCACTTTCACTTTCACTTTGTGACTTTAAGCTAGACTAACTCACTTTAAATTATTCCAATAGAATGAAAAAATCGAATTTAGAAATAACCTTTTCAGTTACCTACATAAATCCACAATAACACTTCTTAACACTCTTGTTATCTTTGAGAAAATTTAAACACTTTACCGTAACCCTTCAGTGATCACTCGTATATGCATGCGCGCACTCACACACACACACAATGTAAACAGTCACCACCCAACCCCTCGTTGCAGGCCTGTACCGTTGCTAGAGTTCGTTGTGGCCTAGAAACAACAAATGGCCTCTTCACTCTATTGAGCAAATAACACAAAACCAGATCACCTGAATTCCTCCTTCAGCAAACGACACTTCAGCAACTCTTCATCCGCGAGCACTTACGAACACACTGGCTTTACTTGAACCATCAGCTCACCATCTTCTTCCCCGACAGCAGTGAACGAAATCCAGAGCTCATCCGATCTAGACCCGCTCTGATCCAAGTCCAGCAAACCGGTGTCCTCTTCACACGGATACGATAATCAACGTGCAGTCCATTAATGTCCGTGATTCTACCGCATTTCCATACTAATGTATTTTTCACACTATGAAAATAAACACCTAGACGAACTCCTGTTTGGAGTAACTCTTTCACAAATGTTTCTGGTGTTTTAGAAAAGTCCGAACTGAATAAATACACGAATTAAACACTTATACAGCACTTAGATTACATTTCTTCACCTCAGCTTTTCGAACACCCCCTTCTCTCTCCCCTGTCTCAGACTCTCCTCCCCTCTCATCCAATCCGAAACACCCTCTGACTAAAGAAGGCGGGATAAACCACACAACAGCCAATGAGAATAAAGCAATACAAGAATGCTAGGCAAAAGCACATTTTCCCCAAGTGCATTACAGACAAACTTTAATCCCCCTCATTATTCTTAAGGCAACACATCTCAGTTATAATCTTATTCATGTGAAACCCTTTATATACTTATAAATCCTATAAATGAACTTCTCTGAATGACTAAAACTATTGTTTAATCAATAATAATTTCCTTCTTACTCAGAACTAACTATTTTCTGTTATATTCTCAAAAATAAGATATTAATAACCCTATATGGAATATTAATAAACCACCTGGGTTACACTCTCCCCCTGCTAAATTACTCATGTCCTCATGAGTCTCCAACTACAACTGTAGTAAGACTTCAGACTTCGGATTCATCTTCTGCTGAACACATTGTTCACAGGTGGCCATAGGATGACACCACAATGTTCTGCAAGCACTCTTCTCAGAAGACTCCTGAATCTTCACAACCATACCCCTATACACAATAGTCAAAGGCTGGTCAGAAGACTTTCCAAGTTCATCATAACTCAACTTCTGAACTGGTTTAATCATCCTCTTCGGATAATTCCTCCCTCGTTCAAGTTCCTTTTCCCCACTTGCTACATTCACAGTTTCAATTCCTTCTTCTTCAGACACTGAATCCTCAATGTTCTCCTCCATTTGACCATCAGACTCCTCTCCTCGAGTCACTTCCACCTGATCAGGATCCTCTCGAGACCTATTAGGACTCTGTACGTTTTCCCTTTCAGCTGACGGAAAAGACAGTCTTTCAAGGTTCACAGTCCTTCCAACTGGATAATAAACACAATCACTACTATCATCACTCATAGAATTCCAGTCCGCTGATTCACGATTCTCTCTCTCATGATTCACAACTTTCTTCTGTCTTCTTTCCACAGTTTTATTTCTGGTCACCACACGGCGTGAACTGTCCTCCCTCTCTGAAGGTAAGTTTATTCTCACTCCCTCACCAATCGGCAACAAGTGATCTCTGTGCAAAGTTCTCACCCCTCCTGTTCCAGTCTTTGGCTTCACCCTGTATACAGGTAAGTTCTCAAGCTTCTCCAGAACAAGGTAAGGTACTGAACCCCACTTATCTCTCAACTTCTGCTTCCCAGTTGTAGCCAAGTTTTTCACCAGCACACAGTCTCCTTTTCCGAGCTCACAAAACTTCACTCTCTGATCATAAAGTCTTTTGTTCCTTTGCTCCGTTTTCTGTGCATTCTGCAGTGATAAATCAAATGCATTTCTCAAATCCTCTTTCATTCTCTCTACATACTTCACATGCGTTTCTCCTCTTCTCCCATCTCCAGCATTTCCAAAACGCACATCAATTGGAAGGCGAGCCTCTCTCCCAAACATAAGATAGTAAGGAGAAAATCCAGTAACTTCACTCTTCGTGCAGTTATACGCATGCACCATCTGACTCACACTCTGACTCCATCTCTCCTTCTTAGAAGCATCCAAGGTCCCCAGCATGGATAACAACGTTCTGTTAAAACGTTCCGGTTGCGGATCTCCCTGAGGATGATATGGTGATGTACGAGACTTTCTGATCCCCAGAATTCCCAGCAACTCCTTGATCAGTCGGCTCTCAAAGTCTCGACCTTGGTCAGAGTGTATCCTAGCAGGTAATCCGTAATGAACAAAAAACTTCTCCACTAGAATCTTTGCAACCGTCAGCGCCTTCTGATCCCTTGCAGGATACGCTTGTGCATAACGTGAAAAATGATCAGTTACTACAAGAACATTTGATACTCCTCTCAAGTCTGGCTCAATTGATAGGAAATCAATGCAAACAAGATCCATTGGTCCTCTGCTTGAAATATGATTCAAGTACGCAGATCTTTGCGGCAATGTCTTCCTCACAATACACCTCCCACAATTCTTCACATATTTTTCCACTTCCATGGACATATGCGGCCAGTAGAATCTGTCCTTGCACAGCTCTGTCGTTCTCTCAATTCCCAGATGACCCGACTCATCATGTAGCGAATTTAATACTTCCGGTCTGTACTTTCCAGGCAAAACCAACTGTACTTTCTCTCCTCCAAGAGAATTCTGTGTCACTCTGTACAACAGATGATTACGAATAACCAACTTTTTCCCTTGTTTCCTCAACAAAGTCTCCAACACATCTGAACTCTTTGTTGTTTTCAGACACTTTCCAGCCTCCACATCTCGCATCACTGTACCAATGACCGGATCTTCCCCTTGTGCCACTCTCAACTCCTGGTTAGTCAACGAATCTCTCTCATTGGTGTCCAAACGAATCGGGCAAACATACAGTTCTGGAACACCTTCCACTCCCACACCCAACTGATCAACCAGTCTGTCCTCCCCTTCTTCAGCCCAGTAAGTACTCTTCACACGTCCACAAATAGCTTTTACCCCGGATCTAGGGATATCCATCCAGTTTGTAGTTCCATCTGTATCCGCAGGAAAACGTGACAGTACATCAGCATCAACATTCTGACTTCCAGCCTTATACCGTAGGTTAAAATCATATGTGGCTAAGGCACTCAACCATCTATGTCCAGTTGCATTAAGTTTCGCACTTGTCAGAACATACGTAAGGGGATTGTTGTCAGTCCTTACTGTGAATTTTGTTCCATACAAGTAGTCATGAAATTTGTCAACAACAGCCCATTTCAGCGCCAGGAACTCCAGCTGATGAATGGGATATCGTTGTTCCGCCTCACTCAGTTTCCGACTTGCGAATGCAATTGGTCTCAACCCCTCAGGGTACTCTTGATTTAGAACTGCTCCCAGCCCTTTCAAGCTAGCATCCACATGCAGTACGTATGGCTTAGATGGATCAGCATACGCCAGTACAGGTGCATGAGTCAAACACTTGATAATAGCATGAAACGCTTCCGTGCATTCGTCAGTCCACCTCTCTCCAAAGGATTCCTTCTCTTGGAAGTATTTCCCTTTCTTCTCTACCTTCTTTTTACCCCTCACAGGTGCATACCCTTTTGTCAATTCCGTTAAAGGCCTTACGATCTTGGAGTAATTCTTGACAAATCTGCGATAGAAACCACAAAATCCAAGAAACGATCTTAATGACTTCAGATCATGAGGTATCTTCCACTCCTTCACAGCCTTCACCTTCTCTGGATCTGGTGTAACGCCTTCTGCACTCACAATATGTCCCACATACTTGACAGACGGTTGACAGAATTGACACTTATCAACTGATAATCTCAGCCCAAACTCCTCCAATCTATCAAGTACTTTCATCAGTCTTTCTTCATGTTCTTCCAAGGTTCTCCCGAAAACAATCAGATCATCCAAGTACACTATCACTTGTAGTAAGTGCATGTCTCCAACTGCCCTCTCCATCAATCGCTGAAACGTCGCAGGAGCTCCCGATATCCCCTGAGGCATCCGCTCAAATTGGTAGAATCCAAGAGGACAAATGAACGCAGTCTTCTCTTTATCCTCAGAAGCCATTTCGATTTGATAGTAGCCACTCCTCAAATCCAACACCGAAAACCACCTACTTCCCGTCAGACAATCCAAAGCATCTTCTATCCTTGGCGTTGTATACTGGTCAGGTATAGTTCTGGAGTTCAGAGTTCTATAATCAATACACATCCTTATAGCACCATTCTTCTTTCGTGCTATGACTATGGGTGACGCATAAGGACTTCTCGATTCCTTAATAACTCCTGCAGCCAGCAGATCCTTCAGATGACGACGCACATCATCTATGTCAGCTGTAGCAATCCTCCTTGACCTCTCTCGGAAAGGTGTACTATCCTTCAGCCTGATTGTATGAGTAACATCCTTCGCTTTCCCCACATCCCACTCGGATATTGAAAAAACATTCCCTCGCTCAGACAGCTTCTTTCTCAATCTTCCTTCCCAATTACTTGGTATTGGAGAATCACCAAAGTTAAAGATATTCGGATCCAACTTCGTCACAGATGTCTGTTCTCTTTGCATCACAGTTACAGTATCCGTATGAAACACATTCGCCATCACAGTTCCTTCAGAAATAGCTATGTCCTTCCCAGTCTCATTACACACTAGCAACTTGAAACTATCCACATCCACATCAGATGAATGCCAGACAGACGAAGGAACAAACACTCCAGCAGGTAACTGGTTCTCATCAGTGGCTTCCACCATCAGAATATCTTCTCTAGTCTGTTTCTTGAGTTCCACTTTACACTCAGCATACTTTTCACCATTCTGAGGTATCTTCAGATCTCCAGGACCCATCCACTTTACACTCCCTTCCACACAGTCATTCACTTCTTCCTTCCTCTGCAGCTTCTCAAAACAAGGTATGGAAACTGTCGACTGTATCCTCAAGGAATGTACAGTATCAGAAACTTCTGCGTCCTGTCCCAATGAAATAAGTCTTTGGAAGAAACTTGCATTTGTTCCGATGATAACAGGAACCTGTTTAGGACCCTTAGGTTCTGGACACACCAGCGCTAACACAGGCACTGTTTTCTGCACTCCTGTGAGCGACTCAGGAAAAGACACATCCACAAGAATATATCCCTTGTATGGATAAGTACTAGCACTCAGTCCCCAAATTGACAATCCACTCAATGGTTGAATTGGAACATTTGACAAATGTTTCTCATGAAAATGCTCAAAAACAATGGTAACTTGCGACCCACTGTCAAGCAATGCACTACATGAACGTCCATTCACTTCCACTGAAATGGTAGAAACTGGACCCACAAGACCTCTGGGCACACCATCCTTTTCACTGCCATCAGTAGTTCCCTTCTTTGAGAAACAATCTGAACGACCGGACCCTGTAGAATCATCCTTGGCTCTGCTCACTTCAGCTTTAGCTCTATGTAGGGATTTCACCAGCTTTTGAATCACCTTTCCGGTATTCTCTGTTGCTCTGCACTTAGTGGCAATATGTCCGTCTTCACCACAACGGTAACAGAAGAAATCCTCCTTAGGCTGCAACCTTCTCTCAGCATTTCTTCGAAAAGGCATTTCTCTGTAATCCAGCCGCTTTGTCTGAGTCTGCTCAGCAGTTGAGGTTATGGTCATCACTTCCAGACGTTTGTTCAACTTCTGAATCTGCATCTTCAACTCTTCCACCTCCGGGTCTCCTCGAGTAGGCTCTCTTTTCTTCTCCTGCTTCTCTGCAGCAGTCCTCATGGAATCAGCAGGCACCTTAGATGAATCTTTTCTCATCTTCAATTTCAGCTCTTGAAGTTCAGCTCTAAGCTTATTCACCACATCAGAATCAACTTCAGACTCAGTTTTCAGATTCAGTGATTTCACTGGCATTCCAATCCTACGTCTCGCAAGCTCATTCTCTTCAGCTGTCTTTATCTCATTCAACAACTCTAAGAAACCAGGAGGTTTAGCTTTTCTTTCTCTTAGGCGCAATTGTAACAACATCAGGTCAGACTCAGCAGAAGCACCTCTGATAAGTTGTTCAAGTCTCGCTCTATCCATTGACCGTGACATCAACCCTCCTTTCTGCACAACTTTCGTCAACGACTTCTCCAATCGGGTCAGGAAATCGGACAGCATTTCTTTAGCGAATTGTCTCAGCAATCTGAATGCAAAGTAAAGATCTTCACCTGATTCAGATGATCCAAAGGTATTTTCCAGTGCCTCCAAGTACTCCAAAGCACTAGCCTCAGGACTTGAAAATCTCACCACTTTCACAATATCAAAAGCAGGACCTTTCAAACTCTCCAGAATTCTTCTCCTCTTTTCCTTTTCTGAACACTCGCATTCAGATGTCATCATTCTGGCCTGTTCCAACCAGTTCTCAAAACTCTCCTCTCCAGCCAGAATAGGAATGATACCAGAGAACACCCTCAATCTTCTGTAAGCATTGGAATCTCCAGAAGGTTTTGTCTTCTCCAACAGATCACCAACAGCACGAATGATGGACTCAGGCGACGCAGCATTCGAACCAGACGAATGGAACAATGATCCCACATCACTCATGGATTTTCCTTCTTCACGAAGAAATTTTTTCAACTTCTCTGCGAAATCAGAAGCATGGAGATCAGCCGATGATACAATAACTCTCCATGGATCTTCACCATCAGCTCTCTGCAACTCAGCTGGTATGCGAGATGAGTCAATTATTTCTCGGCATTCACACAATACCATCACAGTATTTGGAGTTTTCCCCTCTTTGGAGCCTCTTACTCTCACTTTGCCAACAGCTTTTATGGTTTGGACCGCTTCTTCAATGTATGCCACCTCCGTTGTTGATGGTACCCCCATTAACATGATAGCATGATTCTCATCAATCAAAACTTCCTTACTCCACTCTGTAAGTTCAGCAGCCAACAGTGCATCACCCTTGAACTCCATCTTCAAGCTGAAAAAAGTAACTAACAGCTTCTTTAGTCTTCTCAAATCTTCAACAGGATCTCAGGAAAAGAATAATTGATCCCGGACGAGCCCCCAAAATGTGTAGCGCCCCCTATGCTCTGAGTGTAACCCAAGCGACGCTCCGGATTCTTTAAATGTGTCTCTCGACTTGCAACTATGCAATAATGTTATTCTTTCCCTTTCTTTGAGATCTAATAATCTGTATCTACTAATGAATTGCAAGCAACACCATTCGGTAAGTATAAACAAATAATAACATTTAATCACACACAATAAAAGAAATATTAAACAAATGAAAACCCCTTGTATTGAGTCTTAATATACCAATAAACTTCAAATGTAAATCAACACTTGTCTCTTGTCACTTATTTTATCTTTCAGAAACTAAATAAACTCAATTCACTTTCACTTTCACTTTGTGACTTTAAGCTAGACTAACTCACTTTAAATTATTCCAATAGAATGAAAAAATCGAATTTAGAAATAACCTTTTCAGTTACCTACATAAATCCACAATAACACTTCTTAACACTCTTGTTATCTTTGAGAAAATTTAAACACTTTACCGTAACCCTTCAGTGATCACTCGTATATGCATGCGCGCACTCACACACACACACAATGTAAACAGTCACCACCCAACCCCTCGTTGCAGGCCTGTACCGTTGCTAGAGTTCGTTGTGGCCTAGAAACAACAAATGGCCTCTTCACTCTATTGAGCAAATAACACAAAACCAGATCACCTGAATTCCTCCTTCAGCAAACGACACTTCAGCAACTCTTCATCCGCGAGCACTTACGAACACACTGGCTTTACTTGAACCATCAGCTCACCATCTTCTTCCCCGACAGCAGTGAACGAAATCCAGAGCTCATCCGATCTAGACCCGCTCTGATCCAAGTCCAGCAAACCGGTGTCCTCTTCACACGGATACGATAATCAACGTGCAGTCCATTAATGTCCGTGATTCTACCGCATTTCCATACTAATGTATTTTTCACACTATGAAAATAAACACCTAGACGAACTCCTGTTTGGAGTAACTCTTTCACAAATGTTTCTGGTGTTTTAGAAAAGTCCGAACTGAATAAATACACGAATTAAACACTTATACAGCACTTAGATTACATTTCTTCACCTCAGCTTTTCGAACACCCCCTTCTCTCTCCCCTGTCTCAGACTCTCCTCCCCTCTCATCCAATCCGAAACACCCTCTGACTAAAGAAGGCGGGATAAACCACACAACAGCCAATGAGAATAAAGCAATACAAGAATGCTAGGCAAAAGCACATTTTCCCCAAGTGCATTACAGACAAACTTTAATCCCCCTCATTATTCTTAAGGCAACACATCTCAGTTATAATCTTATTCATGTGAAACCCTTTATATACTTATAAATCCTATAAATGAACTTCTCTGAATGACTAAAACTATTGTTTAATCAATAATAATTTCCTTCTTACTCAGAACTAACTATTTTCTGTTATATTCTCAAAAATAAGATATTAATAACCCTATATGGAATATTAATAAACCACCTGGGTTACACTTAGGCTAGTAGCTTTGCTGTGATATCAGAATTTGTATTGAGAATTGTGAAGTTTGAATGATGTATAATATTTCCGGCAAAAATAAGTATTTGTTAACGTGATCTTAAATTACAAGATGTTGGTATCATCCACCCCTATGCCACATACACACATTTGAAATGGCTGCCAGTTATGTATCGTGTTGTTTCTCTTTATTTTTCTCTCTCTTTATCCTTTAGTCCTGAGGTTTTAAAGAGGAAGGCCATTGATATCGTCTTGCTCCCCCTGCAGTGTGTGTCAGCACAGTCTCAAGACACTGGTATCACACATTCACTGAATTGTGCCTTTTATATTGTAAAAACCTTGCAGTTGTACTTACTGAAGTCTTCATATCTCCAGCAGAAAAGATGAATTTAGCCCTAAAGGAACAGCTATCCCAGAAAGCCTCATGTATTTCCCACCTCATGCAGAGTTTATCAAGTCTAGAAGAGCTGGCATACACAGTAAGTAGACTTTTGCTTCACTCTCAAGACTCTCTTTGGGCCGGTGCACACAGAACCTGTTTTTAGATTTCCCACTGTGCTACTTTTTTTATTATAGTTTTTTATTGTTTTTTAACGTGCTCTAAATGGATATCTTTGACTGTTGCATCGCATCTCACTGCGCTTTTACTGCGTCTCACATTTTTTAAGGAGATTGTGTCAAGGTCAAAGTTTAAGTTTCAAAATTTATCTCGAAACGCAGCTCTCTTTCTCTCTTTTCACTCTGCAGTTGAAACTATTGTGTGGTGTCACTGTCCTGCGTTTTTGAAAGCAACAACACATTCTATATAAATGGTTCCTTAGGCTGGTCTTGGTGAATTTGTTTTTTTTTTGTGTGTTTTTTTGCATTGTCCATGCAGATTTTGCTGTAAAGTCTGTGGAATGGATTTAAATATGCTAGAATGTGTGTTCCACAATGAAATGTGTACCTTTCTTTTGTTAGAAATACCAGTTTGAAGGCATTTCCATTCACTCGGTCACCAGGTCTGTGGTGTTGCTTCTGAGGATTTGCTCTGGGCATTGCCCCTCCTCTTTGATTCAAAATAATGCCTCCACCCATCTGATTGGCTGCTGCAAGGTTCAGAGGTGTGGCCTAGATACATTAGGTGCTCTCAGCGTGTATGAAGGTAAAGACTTCTTCAAATAGAATTTGAGTTTCACCTTATGTTGATATTGATATGACAGGGATGAGTAAAACATCATAATTAATTACAAAAGATAGCATTATCAATATACACAATGTTTATGCATCAATACACTACCGTTAAAAATATTTAAAGGTAATTTAAAAAAGGCGCTTTTTTCCCAAACTCTTTTGTTTGATCATAAATACAGTAAAAAAACTGTAATATTTTTAAATGTCATTACAGTTAAAAATAACTCTTCTTTATTTGAATATATTTTAAAATTTAATTTATTCTTGTGATGGCAAAGCTGAATTTTCAGCATCATTACTCCAGTCTTCTTTAGAAATTTTTCTAATATGCTGATATGATGACAGTTGTGCTGCTTAATATTTTTGTGGACACACTTGATACATTTCACTTTTTTTATGAATAGAATGTTCAAAATTATAGCATTTATTTGAAATGTTTCAACAATGTAAACATCTTTACAGTCACACTTGATCAATTTAATAATCCTTGCTGAATAGAAGTATTAATTTATAAAAAATGATAGTGTAAATGTATGTATAAAAAAACCTTACTGACCAGAGTCCAGAGCCTACTGACTTTGGCATCATTGACCTTGAAAGTGATTGGTATTGAATTGGTGTTGGCTGTAATATCTGATTAATATTCCTACATATAGAAAATTTGAATATAAGGAAGGACATATTTGGTGTCCTCTTGGACTATCTAAAGAGTCCAGATTCCCATGCTACAGTAAGTACGCACATTTCCTTATATCTTGCTAATATTACTTTTTGCCTTTAAAGCAGATCTGTTGTTGAAACTCCTTATTTACTTGAAGCTTCTTGTGATTTCCAAGGTCTTGAAGAAAACATATCAGGCCACTATGAGCTGGATTGCGGTGTGTTCGCCCTTCCCTGATCTCCTGGAGTTTATCAGCCATGGTGAGGAGCACTTCAGCCTCATTTGTAATGTAATGCGGACATTTTTATAAAAGGGGTCTATCTAAAAACATTTAATCAAACAAATACATCATTCCTTTATTATTTAAAGGGATAGTCCAACCAAAAAGGAAAATTCTGTCACCATTTTCTCTCCATCATGTCGTTCCAAACCTGTATGACTTTCTGTCTTCTGCGGAACAGAGGAAGAATGTTGGTATCTAAACCGTTTCAGGTCCCATTGACTGCCATTTGTATGGGGAAAAATATACATGTATATGGAAGTAACTGAAACTATTTGGCAACCCACATTCTTCAAATATCTTCTTTTGTGTTCCACAGAAGAAAGTATTAATATATAGAAAAATTATCGACACAACATCGTGCACATTTCAAAAACAGATCGACATCAAAAGACATCACAGTATATGGTCATGAAGTGAGCATATGTATTCTGCAGACCTCTTTCCCGTATTGAAGAAACGGATGTGTGATTTGCGATGGGAGGTGAGAGACTCCACACTAGAGTTCATCACCCAGCTGACTGTTGCCCTCAACGGTACCACAAGCATATATCGTTATGCTTTTACTATTTCATCTTTTGCTCTGCAGAGTATTTTAGGGATAGTTTTCATTGTAATTGTACTTTTTGTCTCTTTCTCCCAGGTACCAGTGGTTTCATTGAAGCTCTCCACACCAGCGGCATGGTCTCCATTCTCCTCTCTTCACTGGCAGATTCAGAAGGCTATGTAAGAGCTAGTGCTGTGGCTGTCGTCGGGGAGGCAGTTACCTCTTCTCTCCATCAGACGGTGCTTGTGAGCAACAGCAACCTGCTGGTGAGACAGTTACTCAATTCAGTCAAATCCAGTTTTTCAAATATGATCTTTAGGATGATCCTGCATTTTTTTTATTTTGCAAGTGATGAAATTGCTTGTTTCTGATCAATGTAGAACCTGTCCCCTTAATCCCACTTTTAAAAAAAGAAATCTGTTCCTGTCATAAAAGAAAAAAAGCAAAACAAAATGACCAGTGACATAGGTCTCTTTATTATAGGCTTAAATCGGTTTGTTGGCAAAGCACGGATGACTGCTTCTCATGTTTATATTAAAGGACACCTATTATGCGTTTTTAAATTTTACTTTAGTGTGCAATATAGCTGTTTGTGGTCAATCTGCAAGTTACAAAGGACAAAGCCCATGCCAAAAAGAGTGATAATAGTGAAAATAAAAATGTTAGTTATTCAAACATATACATAAAGGCCTGGTTTCACAGACAGGGCTTAGACTAAGATAGGATAAGGCCTTAGTTCAATTAGGACTTTAACTTTATAAACGTTATAAACGTCCCCTAGAAATAAAAAAACGTTACTGGTTCTTGAGACAAAACAATGCCATGGCACTGACATATTTTAAGATATGTCAGTGCAAGTTGCTTTCAGTTAAAATGGCTCAAACATGCATGTTAGTCTGGGACTAGCTTAAACCTTGCCTGTGAAACCAGGGGATAATGTTTCAATATTTGGTTTAATTTTGCACTTTCTTGTAAAGTAATGTATTTTATCAACTAAAAAGGTGCAATTTTGGTCAGAAGTGACTAAAATGTGTGAATATGACATGATCAAATATTGATTATTAACATATTGCTATATCACGGAGCCCACAAAGGGACATGATGATGGACAATGTAAGATGGGAGGAAAAATTATATTTCTATGCTTTTGCATTCTCATGCAAATGTTTTGCGTTCCCCCAATGTCCGCTCGCAGAATGTTTGCGCCCCCCCCTGAGAACCTTTTGAGTGGTTTGCGACCAAAGGCAAAGTTTCTCAGGGGAACGCAAATGTTTTGAGAGCTAAAAGTTTTGAAATATATTTTTTCCACCACAATGTCCCTTTAGAGGCTTGGTATTATATAGATGTTTAAGTTAACTATATATTTAAAAATTTTGATCAAAAGACTAAAAAATTGGTCCTGGACAATTAAACAAGATAAACAATTGATAAACAGTGAATTGTTCACTAAGCAATATCTCAACGCTGACTGTTGCATCCCACCAGCTGAGAAGCAGTAGTTTGGACCACAAAAACCAAACATGTTACACTCAAAAGAATCTAAAAATTAGTTTTGGACCACCAGTGTGAAGAAAGCCATTCTGACCTCAGTGGACTTGTCAAGTGTCGCAATTCGCCTTTGGCTAAGCCACACCCTAGAATGTAGATTGACCAATCACAGCGCAGCCAAGAACGAGCTCCCACAGAGGTCCGACACTTTTTCACAGCGCTCCATTGACTTTAACACAGGCGTCTCATATTTTTATCTAAAATATGGTTAAACGTTGTGCCTGGGGCATTTGTAACACAGATACGCGTTTCCCAGAGAGGTTGGAGGGGGGTGTGCGTTTTTTCCCTTCCCAAAACCGAAGTCAAATCCTGACAAGTGTCGTCTAGCTAGCACAAGCTGCTAATAAATACAACGTTATACTCGCGTAGTCCGTTTGCTTCGTAATAACGATTATAGAAGTGAATAGAGACCTACCCAGCTTTGCATGAACAGTGTTGCTCCTTGATATTGTTAGTCCCAGCCTCCGTCTCGATTAGTAGGATATGCGGTGGTTCATTTTTTGACTGTGACCGGTATGCTTTTGCCTCTATTTGGATGCCTTGTTGTTCCTTGCGTTTCACCTGTATGTCATGAACGTATGCCTTCAAACGTATATTACAGACCCTTTGGACTACTTCTATCGGACACTTTATTTGCTGCTTTATAAAAGTTTGATAAAATTTCAGCAGGAAGAGCTGTCACAGCATAAGCCATGTTGATACCAGAGCCCAGATGAAGTTTGTTTGTCGGACGTAGCAATAGTAACTAAGGGGGGCGGGGCTTAGCCAAAGGCGAATTGTAGCTCATTGATCATTTTAATGGGTGGACACTTGACATCATCTAAATATTCTTGTTTCATTTTCTTTCTCAGTTTAATCTCATGATCTTCACGTGTTGTTGAACTTTAGGAGGAGGCTTTGACGCAGATGATGACCATTCTCTCTCAGGACACGGAGGGCTTCCCGCGTAGAGCAGTGGTCAAAGCCTTCACATCATGGCTGAAAGGATCACACCTCGTAACAGCTGTGCACCCGTTCCTGAGCTCTGTCCTGTCACTGGGATGCAACGATTTCGACTGGGAAGTGAAAATGCACACACTGGAGCTGGCAGAAGTGTTGATGGAGAAGACACTGACCTGCTGTCCATACGCAATCCAAAACTTTGGTTCCTCTGAAAAGACGCACTTGATGCAGGCCTTGAGCAAACTGAAAGAATTTGGGCTGTTTGACTTGCTTTTTAACAGCTTGTTTGACTGCGACAGACCCGTGTGTGAGAGAGCCTGTGCACTCTTGCTCAAACTCAGAACACTTACATCTGAGAGCGCAGACTTCGATTCCACTCTTGTCTTAAATGTAAATGGGAACAGATGGGGGGACGAGGTGCAGAGTAGATACCTTAACCCACAACAGGCCAAAGGATCTGTGTGCGCATCTGATAAGAGAACGGACAGTGATCTGCACTGCATCAAAGACATTAGCCTACCCATGATACTGCACATACTCGATCTAGATGACATGCAGAGGACGTTGAAGTTGAGTAGTGATCATGTCGTGAATTCGCCCCGATCGCTAATGGAGGACATTCTTTCAGCAGCCCAGCAGAGTGAGGACAATATGGTAGATTGCTATTGAGAATATACTGTTACAATTTGAGACTTTTTTTTTTAGGGCCATTTAATAAAGAATGATGTACAGTCTGTTAAGTTTGTTGTATAAAGGTCCATTTAATTTTTACAACCTGTATTTTCAGAGTTTTTGTAGTGTTGTATTTTTATTTTAAAATTATTAAAATAGGGCTGTACAACTTGGCCAAATGATTGTTGTGATTATTTTGTTCTATATTGTGATTCATTAGCTTTACAGCAACTCATAAACCTCCTTGTGGGAACCCTGTCTTACAGGGTTGGAAATCCTTTGAGGTTCCTGTACAGTACTGTGCGTTCAACAGTCTTGAACAAAGCCTGGAAATTCTCTGTGTCCACTGCAGTGATCATGTGATAGAAAACTGGCCTGCTGTTATTCCCTTTCCTCTTTTTAAAGCTTTGAACCAACAATTCATGCACATCCTCCAGACTGAGGATCACCTTGGAACTCAGGAAAATGCTTTGTAATTGAAGTTTTTTTTTGTTTTTTTTTACACAAGTGTAAAAAAAAAATCATGTCACGTGTCAAAATCATCAAATAGAATCTAGGCTATATGGACAATATTCTGTTTGATGATTTTGACACGTGACATGATTTCTTTTGTTTTTTTTACACTTCTACACTTTCTTTCACAAACAAACTTCAATTTAACAGGATTCTATTTATTCTAATAATCTGTACAATAGTTCATAGTTTCGTAACTTCCCTCTGTCTCGTTCACTCGGATGTACGTCATTGCTTACGTTATACTGTAAAGTGTCTCTATGTTGTGAGAAATGACTCTGACTCCTTTACCGAGATCCCAATCCTAAGCATTTCTGCACATTTCAACTACAGCATGTTTCCTGTTCCATGTGGGTAATGTAGTTTAAAACGTTTAGTAATGAAACAATAAATGTTAAATAAATATCTTTAATGGGATGACTGGATATCTAAACATGTTCATTGTGCAAACCTTTATGACATATATGAGGAATAGGCTGAAATTGTATATTTAATGTGAGCACTTTCAAAAAACCTTTATGCCAGCTTTAGGCCTGAAAACTGTGCCCAACATTTAGCAAACATAGCATCAAAGACATTATCTGCAAGTAATCCTGCAAGACAGAAAGGAAGGTAATTTTATTACATTACATGCAAGTAGTCAGTTTATAACTGTTGGATTTATTTCTGTAAAGAGTGTTGCATAATTAAATGTTAAATGCATTTTTATCTAATAAGTTCACTGATATGCGGGCATTTCTATGAATAAAAGTATTGTCTTTAATAGCAAGCAATATTCATATGAATTCGTAAAAAACAAAAAACAAACATGATTTACATGCAAAAGGGACAGTTATCAGCAGTGTAACAACTGATTATGACAAAATAATTGAATATCTGATGTCATGTCAAATTTGCTTTTCCACTCTTGCAAACAGAGGTAGGTCATGAGGTGTGGAGAGACATCATGTATCATTGGAACATGAACAGATAGGGTCCAATTTGTAATAATTTTAAAGAATACAATGCAATTAATATAAACTTTCTGACAGTGTTTATTTAAGACTGTTCCTACTGATTGGGCAATGGGTTTTGTAAGAAAAGTTTTAAGAAACAACAAATGCTTGATTAAATGTTTGATTAAGGGTTAAAACCAACACATACCATTGCAAATATTTGCCTTTGCAGCTTTACTTCTCCTCAAACAATAATGGGCTGACTGAGTCTGAAAGGCCCTTTTGGTCTTTTCAGCTGAAAAAAGAGAAAAGAAAATATCATTAGGCCTATGTATAATATACAGAATTATTTAAAGGAAAAAGTACAGATTTACCTTACAATTTGGGGATTTTAAATTATTAGGCATTAAAAGCATGGTACGTTTTGTGATAACTATCCTTTACTACACCAATCACAGTAAAACTAAGGTCACTGAGGTAAAAAAGCATGGTAAGTTTTGTGGTTACTGTCCTTTACCACACATATCACAGTAAAACTAAGGTTACTGTGGTAAAAGCATGGTAAGTGTTGTGGTTAATGTGCATTTACAACAAATATCACAGTAAAACTAAGGTTACTGTGGTAAAAGCATTGTGAGTGTTGTAAAAACACACTGTGCTTCTACTACAAATACTACTTTGGAACTAATTGTATGATTGCCACAGTGGAACAGATTTAATGAAGTGACTGAAAATGAGGGAGAACAAACAGAAAATTAGTGATGGGAAGTTCGGTTCTTTTCCGCGAACCAATGAACCGGTTCAAAAAACCGGTTCATCAGTTCTTTTACGTCCTCTCGTAATGACGTCAATTCTATCATCCCGGCGGATCAAAATACATTCAAATAAAGGCATTTGTAATCATAACTTGAGTTAAATAATAGTACTCATCGTCATAATCCTCTTGGAAGTTTTTTTACATTTTGCTAATGAACCCTGTAGGCTACAGACGATGTGCAAACGCGGATGTTTTACATGTCTTAAAGATCTAAAGTGAATAAACTGGTCTTCATCAATTTTATTTTATTTTTTATTAAATAAACTTACATTTCGCTGAATTCGGCCCCTCATTTAAGTCCTCGTTTCACCCGTGCTCATGTATCAGCACAGCATGCAGTTGGCCAAAAGAAAGTTCGGTTCAGAGACGGTGCTATCACGCATGCTCAGTATCTCAAGCTCATCGGTTCTCCGTAGTCCGTATCGAACGTGTCCGAAAGAAACAGTTCTCGGTTATGTACTGGTGATTCGAGAACTGCTGCAACAACTAGGTCTTGACTCGAGAAGCCTGTGTGCGCTGAGCTGAGAACTGCTGAAACCATAGGCTACCAGCCTACAGTCGACAAAACTAAAAAGTCGATGCCTGTCTACAGTAGGTTTACGTTATGTTTTGATTAACACATTATTTCCTTTGCACCCTTAAAACCTTGGCAAGAGTTTACGACAAAGATTTATGTCAACTTATTAGAAATTAAATTAGCTGTTCCTGAAAATAATGTTTTAGTATAATAATAAATGTTTAGTTTTAAAATCCATTCATTGTGTTTCCAATCTTTAAAATAATAGGCTACAGTGAAAATATAGTAATTATGTGATAAACATGTTTCCAACACGTTTTATTTTGTTACACTTACTGAACACTTAAGATTTAGTGTTTTTACACTTAGTCAAAATACATGTCTGTAGCCTATTGCTTGTGCCGTGAAATCTATTAACAGCACTATTTCTTCTGACCGCCGAAGAAAACCGTGACCGGCGGAACCAACGCTAGTGCTCCACCTAGCGCCAGAATCAAGGGGGTAATCCATCGACCGGAAGTTGAAGCCGGCCGGGTGCCGCCATGTTGTAGCAGAACTTCACTTGCGTTAGCATTTCCATTGACTCCCATTCATTTTGGCGTCACTTTGACAGCGAATAACTTTACATCTGAGGCGTTTAAAGACTCCATTTGTCCATTATTTATTTCTAAAGAAACACGACAATGTATAAAGTGCTCCATTACCTTCTATGTTATGGCCCCGTAGAAACAGTTTTAGTAAAAATAGGCTAACGATTGCATCATAACCACTCGACTCTCTGTCGCGCTGTACAGAAATTACCGTACAGACAGGAGGAGAAGCTCGCAGGCAATCGGGGGGACGTCCCGTCAAGGGAGAAGCCCATAGATAATGAGTCCATAAAAGCAACGGAATACTTACTCCTGCTCACTCACGCCAAAGAACTCTTTGCTCAAGTTCCCCGTCTCTGCAAGATTAACGTTGGCAATTTTCACGCACAGCTACTAGAAGATTTACGTCTGTCAGACAGGTTTCTCACGTCATCAAGCTTAGTTTGAGTCGGTTTGAGTCTGCGCGTCAGGAACGGAAGTGCTTTGAAATCGCTAAAAATGGGCTTCAACTGTCTCAACTGAGTTCCAATGAGATGGCTCTGTCCATTTCTTATACTGTCTATGGCCAGAATGGGCTCTATGCACGGCGGTATTTCCGGTGAAGGTCTAAGGATGCTGGATTACTTCCGCCGATCGTAGAGTCCAATGCTATACCGAGAATTTATATTGGTTTTTATACTCTATTGCTATACTAAAGAAACGTTAGTCACAAAAACAGACAAAACAGACACTCCTCATTTTGTTTATGCTTCTGTGTTTATTATATTAAATAAACATAACTATATATAAAATTACATCTAAACGTATTAAAGTTTCGTTTCAAAGACGAGAGGACAGTACATTTTGAAGATTCTGCCATAATACCGTTTTCCTCGGTTTTCCTCCGCTTTAAATCTCCCCAACCGGAAACGCACGAGCATCCTTGCGTCAAACGCGGAAGTTATGCGTGCATATAGCCCATTACACAGAAGACATGATCTTACCGGTACTTTACTTTATCCAATGCAGAACTGTCTCGAGTTGTAACTGGGAATGCCGATTAGACCATCTCGTCGTAATACAAATCCAAAATATGAATGTACTAGTGCTTATGGGATATCACGATTTTTGCGCGCCTGACAATCAGGCCTGGCGTCAAGGGGAGAGGGCTTAGCCCCACGTTACACTTCATCTCGCGGCACGAATGTACCAATACAAATAAATATAATCTCCTGTTTAACTTAGGCCTAAATGCTAATTTTTTGTATTGTGATTTTATTTTCTGTTTTAGGTGCTCTACTCAGATGGGGACAGCCACCGTCACCCAATTCACATGTGCCAGACCGGGTAAGAGGGACTGGACGACACAATATTCAGGCGTCAGAGGACATTGAAGTGTAAATAAAGAGTACAAATAATTAAATAAAAAGGCAAAAAAAAAAGAATTTGTTTGTGTGGTGTGTTCAGTGTTAATACAAGATTTGAAAGGTTCCATTACTTTTTATCAACGGCTGTAGATAAAGCAGGCTATTTAATTTATGGCATTTAAAATTAACATTTAAAAACGATTGAAATTCCATTGAAATCACGTTGATCCTTAGTTCAGTTGAAATTTCAACATTGTTTCAATATTGCTGATAATTGAAATACCATTGAAATTCCGTTGATCTATGGACAGGATTTCAATGTTGTTTCAATATTAAAACAGGGTGCAAAATGATGTAGAATCAACATTAGAGTTCGATGTTGATTCAATGACTTTATGTTAAATCAACATTCCGTTGTCAACATTGTTTCAATGACTGTTTGCTATCTGGGTAGTATGCGCATGCTCAGTATCAGCTGCTCGTGCTCATGACTTCTCTCAGCACAACATGTCTCAGTTCAGTTAACTGTTGGAGTTACTGGAGTAAAATATACTCCGGGATATTGGTTTATTTCGATTCGGAGGGACTGTCAGGCATGTCTGAAAGTGAGTAACTTTAGTAACTTGTGGATGAGCGCTGACGCAAGAGGCGAACTGTTTCTAACGATTCAGTCCGATTTAGTGTACTGGTTCGACTGGTTCACTAAAAAGAACCGGTTCAAAAGAACGATTCCTTCACGAACCGGCCATCGATCATCACTAGGATGAAGAGATAGTCTCCTATTGAAGGTGAGTAGGCCTACTGATTTTTCGATTTTTCAACACTGTTTTTGACACTCTTGTTGCTTCGAATCTTTTCCCGAATCATTAAGGGGAAAGCCCGGTGTTACCAAAAAATCTTTTAAAATCTTCTGTAGTCTGCCAGAAAGATAGAGCATTCGTGCTATGTTGTTCACATTGTAGAGTGAGTTTAGATATAGTGATGAATCATATTTTGTGGAACTAGATTGTAAATTCAGAATTCATCGTAAAGTCCTTTTTTTGTGTTTTCCCCCAGAATTCTCAACTTAATTCCAGAGACAATATACCATTCAATCTCTTTTGAGTATCTGGAATAAGTGTCCAGCGAATATGGCAATGCAAAGGCAACTCCAATGCTTCTTTTTTTTCGGAGCAGTATTTGTCACATTCTTCATAATTTTCTTGAATGATTTGAGATCTGGGACTTTTTACCCACACACGGCTTCAACACAAGATTTCACACACCTCAAACTACGTCAAGCACATCGTAGACGTATGATAAGAGAGCTTTGCTCAGCCAATAGCAGCCTGAATTTTGCAGAGAAATTAATCCCATTTGACCAAATTCCAAACAAAGCCCTGGACCATCTCATTGTGGATGATCACCATGGTGTTATTTACTGTTTTGTACCGAAGGTAGCATGTACCAACTGGAAACGAGTCATGATTGTGCTCAGCCAGAACCTGAAGGCACCTAATGGAGCTCCATATCTGGATCCTCTTGACATACCATCAGCATTATCCCACAATGCTACTCTGCATCTGACGTTTAACAAGCTTTGGAGGCGCTTTGGTCGTTTCTCACGTCCATTGATGCATCACAAACTAAAGAATTACACTAAGTTCCTTTTTGTACGGGATCCTTTTGTACGCCTTATTTCTGCTTTCCGGAACAAATTTGCTGTGCCAAATGAGGAGTTCTATAGGCAGTATGCCTCCACAATGCTTCAGCGTTATGCTAATATTTCATCCCCCCCTGACTCTGCTCAAGAGGCCTTCGCCGCAGGTATCAGACTGTCCTTTACTCACTTTATTCAGTACCTGTTAGATCCACAGACTGAGAAAGTAAAACCATTCAATGAACACTGGCAGCAGATGTACAGACTCTGCCATCCGTGCCAAATTGACTATGATTTTGTTGGGAAGCTGGAAACTCTTGATGAGGATACAGAACATTTGTTGAGGATTCTTGGGCTGGATAAATATATTCACTTTCCACCAGGGAATGAGAACAGGACAGCAGTAGACTGGGAGCGAGACTGGTTTGCAAGCATTTCCGTAGCTGACAGGAAAAAGCTGTACAATCTTTATGAAACAGACTTTAAATTATTTGAATACAAGAAACCTGAGACACTTCTGGACGAGTGACAAGGATCGCTTTTTGTTCTTTCTGATTTTGCATCATGCAAATAGAAACAAGATAAATTAAGCTGAATCCTAAATGAAACCTGTCAAGAACATGTCTAGGTCTTATTTCAATTAAATGCAAGTCTAAGTTAGTTAATTTTGTATTTATTGCTATTTATCCCTTAAATATTTTGTTTTGCAAAAATTAAGGAAATCAAAATGAAGCTGACAAAAGGACAGTTTGAGGTTGCATTGTCAATGTTCTGTAAAAAACTTTGTAGGTTTCATCACCCAGGGCTACAAAAGTAGTTTGGTTACATACTTAAACATCTTTGAGGCCTGATGGAATCTATTTTTATTCTTTGTTAAATTCAGACTCCTGTTTTATGATTATCTAGGTTCTTTTTTCCAGATTTAATGTTTTAACCTTCTAACCTACTTTGATTTTTGATTCTATATAGTCTCCTTTTTCTTGGTGATCAGGTCAAGCAACTGTTAAAAACTGTCACAGTGATGATTTATGAGACATAATTATGTGATATTTGTCTTACTCTTTACCTAAGTAAACAGGCTTATATTTCACACAGTAGTTCGTGGTTTAATTATTGCAATTAAAGCTTTTTTAATGTTCAATTATTCAAGTTGATTCAAAGATGTGTTGACACATGTTGGATACAACTGGTATTTCTACTGTCACGGTTGGTTGCAGAAGAGAGGAAGCAGGATATATGTGCAGCAGTCTTAATTTAGAAGCAAACTCAAATCACTCTCAAGAACAGGGTTAACCGGAACAGAACAACCAACTTAAAACAACGTAGAACTGACCAAGAACTGAAAGAAACACAAGGCTTAAAGGCGCAGTATGTAAGAATGAAAACTACTGGTCAAAATCGGTACTGCAGTCAAATTCACTGCGTTTGACTATAGAACTTTAATAATGATTATTTCATTTATAATTTATGCAGTGAAGACTGTTTGATAACAGGGCACAGGTAAATATGACATGAATGGGTTTATGTGAGGATTGTTTTAAAGGAATAGTTCACTTCAAAATGAAAATTCTGTCATCATTTACTCACCCTGAAGTTGTTTCAAACCTGTATGAGTTTCTTTCTTTTTGGTTAACACCAAACACTGTTTGGTTACAGCAGAACCAGAAGATCAAATTCAGCAGAAGAAAGAAATTCATACAGGTTTGGAACAATTTTATTTTTGAAGTGAACTAATCCTTTAAAGGGATACTCCACCCAAAAATGAAATTTCTGTCATCATTTACTCACCCTCAAGTTGTTGCAAACCTCTATGAGTTTCTTTCTTCTGCTGAACACAAAGGAAGATATTTTGAAGAACGATTGGAACCTAACAGTTGTTTGGCACCATTGATGTCATGAATGCCAGCTGGAGTGCCCGCGTGAGCCTCTGGAGGGCACTCTCTTCCTGTGCTATGTTTCCCCATGGACTCATTATGTTTTATTATGTTCAGCTGTGTTTCATTACGGGTTATTGAGTTCCTTATTTAAACCTGAGTTTTCCCTGTGTCCTTTGCGAAGTCTTGTTACCTTGTAAGCGTACATCTCTGAGCATTATTCCCTGTTTGAGTATTCCGTGTTTCCCTGGACTCTTGACCCTTGCCTGTCTTCTGGACTGTGTATGAACCTGTGCTGCCTGCCTCGACCTAAGCCTGTTATCACCACGCATTTCTGGATTACCCCTTGTTTAACTGTTTCTGCTTGTGTTTAAGTTGGAATAAAGTGCTGCACATGGATCCGACCGCCTCTGTCCGTGCGTTACAATTGACTTCCATAGTATTTTTTTTTCTACTATGGAAGTCAATGGTGCCAACAACTGTTAGGTTCCAATCGTTCTTCAAAATATGAACTATAAGAGAATTCAACCAGGCGCTCAGATGAAGTATATCCGTGATAGGTGCTCTTGGTATAGGGAAAGGCTCCAATGAAATAAGATGCAGGTCCCAGGCACTCAAAAAATGGATAAGAAGGAGAAGGGTTAAAAAGCCTTTATTGAATATGATTTATTTCATAATAAAAAAGTCACAAGCCAACATGTTTCGACCCACAAAAGGTCTTCTTCAGGGCAAAGTAATATACACAATGAGAATGGCGGAAAATTATAAATAGCGTCCCACCTGTAATCAGAGAGCATACAACTAACCTAATAAAGTCCAATTCAATCAATTAATTAACCCAATAGGTAACCCAGTCTAACATGATAGGGACAATCAACAAATTGAGCACAAGGCATTCTCCCTCAACATGGGTTATCTGGAGAGACAAAAAAAAAAAAAAAAGAGATAAACCATGTATAAAACAAACAAAAAAACATAAGTATAGGACAATTATATCATAAGAAGCACTTAAACTCAATGGGCCCTATCTTGCACTCAGCGCAAATGACTTTGTACACTGACGCATGTATCATTCCTATTTTGCACCCGCGCAAAGCGGACTTTTCCCTCCACATACGCACGTCGGTTAACTAAGAAATACACTTGCGCTCCCCGGGGCGGTTCAGCGCAAAGAGGAGGCGTGTTCCGGCGCAAACTTTCCCTCATGCTATTTTGCTGTTCTATAAAACAATTGCGCCACTGACCAGAAAAAAACTAGTCTAAAGTCAGTGGCGCGTTGCGTGTTGTTCATTATGCTATTTTAAGGGCGCATGCTTGGCCATAATCAATGTAGCGTGTGCACAACGCGCATACACGTTGATTCTCTCATCTAAGCAGCAGTTTTCATTTTTGCAAATCATACATTATTACGATAGATAGATAGATAGATAGATAGATAGATAGATAGATAGATAGATAGATAGATAGACAATTTATTATAAAAGCATACATGTAGCTTACACATTTACCCAAATTATCATACGCCTGTTTAACAGAAGTTAATTTGCGTGGGTTTCTCCATCCCCAATGTCACTTCTCTGTGTTTTACGGCCCTGACGAGAACGTTGCTCTCCTCGGCTGTGAACCGCTCCTGGCGCGCGCCTGGTAAATCCGCCGTTATAATAGGAATCCGCTTTAGAACAAGCGCGCCTGCTCTTAAAGGGAATGTGAGATGACGCTCTGATTGGTTTATTTCACGTTACGCCCAAACCACACCTATGAATAATGAAGCTACTTCAGACCAACCCCTTTTAGATTTGCGCCAGGCGCAAGAGGCATTTATCCCGCCGGGAAAATAGCAACAGCGCCGGGATCCGCCCACAAAGTTACTTGCGCTTTACGCGTTGACACTTGCGTTTCAGATCGTTAAAATAGGGCCCAATGTCTTCGTTCAGACCTGGATAATGGAGTGCATCCAGCTGATGAATCCAAAATGCCTCACGCTGGTTAAGTTTACGAATCCTATCACCACCTCTATCTAAAGGTTTCACATGCTCCAAAACCTCTATCTTTAGTAGAGAATCATTACTATTGTGCATATGTAGGAAGTGTTGGGCCATCTGATAATCAGGGCTACTGGTACGAATGGCATATTTATGCTCCGCTAACCAATCACGTAGACGTCTTTTTGTACGACCAAAACACATTCTTACATGGACAAGACAACGGATAAATAATAAATGTAGTGTTACAATTTATAAAATCTTTAATCTTGAATGTTCTATTGGATTTAAAATCCACAAAGGTTTTGCCCTGAAGAAGACCTTTTGTGGGTCGAAACATGTTGGCTTGTGACTTTTTTATTATGAAATAAGCCATATATATTCAATAAAGGCTTTTTAACCTTCTCCTTCTTATCCATTTTTTGAGTGCCTGGGACCTGCATCTTAGTTATTCAAAATATCTTACTTTGTGTTCAGCAGAAGTTCATTTTTGGGTGGAGTATCCCTTTAAGTTCACTAAAATTAAAAGTTATTATATTTTTTGAAGCCAAATAAATGTTTATAATAATTGATAGCTTTTAATTACACTGTAATGTTGAATGGCTATAATTAATGTTTAAAATTGGTGATAAAATCATTTTCATCAAGATATCAATAGCTGTATTAGTATCTGATACTGGCCTTCGTTTATAAAAAAGATGTAATTAAACAAGCATTTAATTATACGGTCTTTATGTTGTTTCTACATTAATTTAGAGATGAACTGTGAAATGATTACATTATAAAAATATAAAACGTATAAAAACTTAAGTGTTTTAATTGCGATTAATAAAAGAAAAAATAGTGTGAATTGTTTTAATGGATTGACATCTTTGTCAGGGTTCTGTCACTTCTGTCTAGTCTATTTCTTGGTTTTGTGACAGAGCCCTGATACTCCTGTTTTGTCTTGTCTGTGTGTCTTGTTTCTACTTTCATGTCATGATTTGTCTCCGTGTAGCACGCAGCTTGTGTTTTCACTAGCTGTGTGCTTTCATGTTGTCATGTTTTGTGGAACAAGTGGCTTATGAGTGTTCTCATTGGGTGCGTGTTCATGTGTGAGCACATTGCTTGTTGTGATTTGTTTTACTGGCCATGTGCTTGTGTTTTTGTCATGTTTGGTGTGAGCACATGGCTTGTTATGTTTACTTGTGCCATGTGCTCTTGATTGTCCACCCGACAAAAAGACGTCCGCATACTTCCGAGTCAATACACAAGTATAATTCTCAATCACTGTTATATTATCAATTATCAACTATTATATTATTTCAATGTGCCGCACATGTTTCCATGTTGTATAATGCACTTTTCACATAATTAAATGTTCTCTAATCCAACCTGTTACATTTTTTAATTAGGCTAATGAAATTAATATTTGACTTCTACTCCGCCAACAGAGGCTGGACCTGCACCACCACTGATAGATGAAGAGGAGATACACAATACTGGAAGAATATTAAAATCCAACAGGAATAATAATTACTGTTGCTTTTGTATTTGAAGGAAATAAAGATGACCAAATAAATTGTGAATAATTTGTGTATTTAACAGCTGTGGTGGTTATGGCATATATCTCTACCCTTCCATCCATAGGCGCCGATACCGTGGGTGCTCCGGGGCACGAGCACCCACGTGTGCCAGACTACATTTATTTAAAATTAAA